GTTCAGCTCCTCAACATGTGTCCTTTCAAACAGCGGTTGTTGAGCCACTCCGTAACAGTGATCACTTTCCAGTTGGTATCCTTGTGGCATCTTCTCTGGTCAAGGCTGGCAGGACTGTTCCAGTCAGGATTGACAACATTTCTAGCTCAGGTTTTACCTTGCGTCGTAGAACCCGAGTAGGTGTCCTCCGAGCAGTTGATCGTGTGGTGGATGATGTATTGAAAGTTGACTTCGAAGTAACCTCTGAAGAGATTAGAGTCAATAAAGCAGAAGTCCCTGTTGCCTCTCCTTCAGTTCCAGTAGACATCTCCGGCTTTGAAGGCACCTTAGAACAACAGAACAGAATCAAAGATCTGCTTGAGAAACACAGAGATGTCTTTGCTAGTCATGACTTTGACTTGGGTGATACCGACACTGTGGAGCATCACATTGAAACCACCAATTCTCAACCAGTTTCACAAACCTACAGAAGAATACCCCCCAATCAGTACGAGGAAGTCAAGAAACATATACAGATGCTACTCACCCACAACATCATCCAGGAGAGTCACAGTCCATATGCCTCACCCATAGTTCTCGTCAGATCTCATATATCAACTCATTTTTGTTTACCTTGACGATGTGTGCATCTTCTCCAAGACCTTCGATGAGCACTTGCAAAATCTTGACACTGTTTTCTGCAGGTTAAAAGAACACAACCTGAAGCTTAAACCCTCTAAGTGTCATCTTTTCTGCAAGCAGATCAACTATCTGGGTCATACTCTGTCTGAAGATGGCATTTCTACCAACTCTGACAAGACGAAGGCGATCGTAGAATGGCCTGTGCCTCATACGACCAAGCAGCTTCGTTCCTTTTTAGGCTTTGCAAGCTATTACCGGCGCTATATCAAGGACTTTGCCCGGATAGCTAGACCGCTCCATGCTTTGGTTGGTATGACTCAACATTGTACTCCAAAGGTGTTTCGGAAACAGTGGTCAGAAGCTTGTCAGACTGCCTTTGAGGAACTAAAATCCAAGTTTGTAGAACCTCCTATCCTGACATTTGCTGATTTTGACTTACCTTTCATACTGGATGTAGATGCGAGTCTGTCCGGCTTAGGGGCTGTCTTGTCTCAAGTTCAGGGAGGAGAGGAGAAGGTGGTTGCCTTTGCCAGTCGTTGCGTGCGAGAAAATGAGAGGAACATGGAAAATTACAGCTCTCGCAAGTTAGAATTATTAGGACTGAAGTGGGCTATCACAGAGAAGTTTAAAGATTACCTCTATGGTTCAGTTTTCACTGTCAGGACGGATAATAGCCCGTTAAGCCATCTCGATTCATCGAAACTTGGTGCTACGGAGCAACGGTGGGTTGCCACTCTGGCAGCTTACAATTTCAACATCATATATCGCCCTGGTCGTGTCAACTCCAATGCAGATGGACTTTCTCGTCAACATCACATAGAGAGTGATCAAGGCAGTGTCTCTGAAGTAATAGCAGAGGAAAGCAAGTTCAATGCCTCTTCAACTTCTTTGCCTGCAACTTTGCAAGTGAAGATATTCCACACTGTTGGTGAACTTTGTCCAGCTCGAGTCCAAGCAGATGTTTGTTCCACTATAGCTTCTTTTCCATCTCTGTCTGCATCTGAATTAGCCAAATTACAGCAGGCTGATCCTGACATTCACAGGTTTTTGCAGTTTCACTGTTCAGACAACTTAGATAAATCATCGAGAAAGCATGAATCGTCGGCAGTCAAGGTTTTGTTTAGCCAAGCTAAACGTCTGAAACTTGACAATGGTGTCCTCTGCAGGGAAGTTCAAGATCCTGTCCTTGGTGAGTTGCACCAAGTGGTTCTTCCATCTAGCTTAAGATCTAAAATCTTGACTAGCCTGCACAACGACTTTGGTCATCAAGGTGAAGAGAGGACGATGTCTCTAGTTCGTCGACGTTGTTTTTGGCCATTCATGTATAGGGACATAAAGAAGTGGATTCGGGAGTGTGAACGTTGTTCTGTGGCTAAGTTACCCTCACCATCGGTGAGAAACCCTCTTGGTCATTTAGTTGCCTCTAGACCACTGGAGACAATAGCTATAGATTTTACTTTATTGGAGCAGGCGTCTGATAGAACTGAGAATGTCCTTGTCATCACTGATGTTTTCAGCAAGTTCACTGTGGCAGTCCCTACCAAGGATCAGACAGCCAAAACTACAGCGAATGCTCTAGTAAAAGAGAGGTTTTTCAAGTATGGAGTCCCACATCGAATTCACTCTGACCAAGGACGCCAATTTGAGGGAGAACTCATTGCAAATCTGTGCAAGCTGTACAACGTCACCAAGTCCAGAACTACTCCCTATAACCATCCCCAGGGCAATGCACAGTGCGAGAGGTTTAACCGCACTATGCATAATCTTCTTCGCACTTTGTCTGCAAAGCAGAAACAAGCCTGGCCAAAACACCTACCAGAACTTCTCTTTGCTTATAATGCTACTGAGCATTCATCTACAGGTTTCTCCCCTTTCTATCTTATGTTTGGCCGAGAGCCTTTGCTGCCAGTAGATCTCCTACTAAACAGAGACCTACCTGAAGACATCACCAATGACTGGGTTGCTCTACATCAATCCCGGTTAAAGGAGGCATATCACCTGGCACAAAGAAGAACACAACATGAGTTAGGGAAGAGCAAGAAGCATTTTGACCGTAGAACGAATCCCAACAGGTTTAAAGTAGGCGATCTTGTCTATCTTCGTAAACACCATAAAGGTAGAAGTAAAATCCAAGATCACTACTTTCCTGACATTTACAAAGTTATCTGTCACCATTCAGAGGATTCCTTTGTGTACACCATCGAATTAGCGGATGGCTCTGGTGGGCAGAAAACTGTGAATTCTTCTGAACTTAAACTTGTTTCTACCCCTTTGGGTAAGCTAGCTACTTCTCCATCTTTTCCTAGTCCTCCTTCTCAAGAGGAAACACCTTCACATTCTAGTACTTCATCATCAGATACTGAATATGAAGTTGAAGTGTTCTTACCTGAGGAAGATGAAGATACTGCTCCTCCCCAACAGCCAGAAGCACAGCCTCCTCCTCAACAGCCAACCATACGACGTTCCACTCGATCCACCAGAGGGAAACATAGCAACGTCCACAGGCTACCTCGTTCTGTCCTCCAACAACAACATCTGCTTCTCACTAGCGACAGACAAATAGTTATGTTGCTGGTCAGTGCCATAGTCATGTTGATAGGCCTGAATATTGGACAGACATTCGGCTATTTCCATCTGCTTTGGATTGTTCTATCTGTCACCTTACTTATCGGGTGCAAACTCTATTTTCGGTGGCTGATCGAGCATATAGCTGGACTCTATGGTTGGCTGCAGACTTTTCAGAACTATACTGATGGATAGTGATGTTCTGAATAATATATGTATATAATTTGTTTTTAAAAAAAAAGAGTATTTTTATGACATGATTTGATCACCACTTATCCTACTGTGATTGCCTTTCTGTATCTTTAATCTTTTCATCTGTATTTAAGAACACACTTGTGATCTTTTACTCAGTCTTGAAATCTTGTCTCATTATTTCCAATTCCAATAATTAGACACAACTAAAACAAATGTGTCATTACTACAATCATGATTTTCTACTCTGAAAACAACATCATTAGAAAATAATCTTACCTTTATGACCATGCTGCCATTCTTGTTCTTTTCTTCATCCTTTCATGTCTCTTAATCACTTCTAATTGAATCCATACGAGGTTACTAAGACGGTCCAACGAGATAAACTCAGGCCAGGGACATCCTGGATTGGATATATACGTCTAATACGCTTCGTCATGGTATTTTCTATTCTTGGCATTTATTTGCCTATATTTTGCAAATTTTTGCAATTATTAAGGAAATAACCTTCTTGGAGAGTTCTATTTGTCTATATATGAGATAAACTCTGCCTTAGTGACAGACTAAGGATGGACTCCTGATTCTACAAGATCTAGTTTCCTTCATTTTTATTATCATCATGTGGTCGAAGAGTACATGTACATATTTGTGGACATGAACAAGATGATTGCAGTGCACTGTGATGGTCACTCACTTTTCCTTTGCAATTCGACTTTGCCTATTTCTCTGATAACTTTGATTTCCCTTCTATAAAAATTCTTTTTTCTTTAAAATTAGGGGGTGAGTGTAACCAGGTCGGGTTGCAGTACTTACTTTTCCCCGACTGGTTCCTTACTCCAGCATTATTTCATACCAAACTTTTGTAACTTCGTGTTTGTGTAGATTTACATGTGAGCAGCCATTGTGATCATGCTTTTTGCCTAGCGCCCTCTCGCGGCCAACTAAACTTTTTTTAACAGCGCGCGCCGCCTAGAATTTGGCTCAACTATGCGATGGGCGTAGCGAGCGTGCAAGTTTTGCATTCCAACGCGCTTTGTTTAAGCGGAATAGTTGACATTCCGGGCGTTTCGGTATAGTTTTCTTGTAGGGCCTGCTGCGGAATATTGTTGATTTCGATCCAACACATCGTTGAATTCAGACCATCTTTTACGAGCGCTTACACTCTTCACTTGTATTACAATTTTGAGAGAGGCTCCCTATACTAGCAGTAAAATATTTACATCTACATTGTATTTTCACTGCTGATCGTCGATTTTCACATCGGAGTAGGCATGAACGTAGATCCTCCCAAGTGGTGAGTAAATCCCTTGTCTGATATTTCACATTTTTATGCCTGAAACATTTTTATGCCTCAAACATTTTTATGCCTAAAATCTTTTTATGCCATCATGTATGAAACATTCTGGTCTTTTGTATGTTGGTTTATTGCCAGAATTAAAGGCCGTCAAAACGGATACGGCCGGAAATTTGTCTTGTAATCACGACTGATTATTAACTTTTGAAACAAATCTGTCGTCGTGATTTGCAAGTATTTTTGAGAATGATTTTAATGATTCTCTATTTAATTCTTGCATGAGATGGCAAAAAGGATTTTTTGTTGACTTTATTTTATACTTTAAACATTTCGGGTAAACACCGTCCATTTATTTTAACACAATCTCTTACTATTTTAATATTTTTCGGCATTTCGGAAAACAATGTTATTAAGCACTTTATTTTTGTGAACTTCAAATTTTCCTTTTGAAACAAACACAAATTGGAACTTATGAGCAACACAAGTACGCTAACTTCAACTTAAATTTTAGTGTTGCCATAATATTTACGTTCTCATTTATCTTTTGAAATAGACTTTTCCCATTTCCCCAAAACTATCAGTTTTCTATTGCTATGATCATTCGGGAATTTGTTATTAGGGCATGGTATTATATTCTGATTTCATTTTATAACATAACTTGGCGAATAATTCATTTCTATTTTTCGGATTTAAAATTACATTATATGTACATAAAATATCCATATTCTTGCATAATTGCCATTTAAATAATTCTCCATTTGGGCAACAGTCATTTTATGCCACAGTAATTCCCATAATTCATTAGACATTTATTGTTTTTATGCATTTCAGATAATATCCTTGGAGCTACTTCATTAGCCCATTTCCCTTTTGACTGTCGTTTTTATACACCCAACCAAGTTTCTAATATAATTCTTGTGTAAATACCTAATAATTTGTATATATATTGTCTCTATTTGTACTGTAAATAAACCATTTCATATTTGTGAGACAACAGAAAACATTCGCTCTACCCAAATCATTTTTTAGTGGAACCCCTCGGACATAAGGAGAGTGCCACATTTTAAAAACTAACTAATTCCACTCTCCCCGGTTACACTTGTATAAATCGGTCAGGGCGCAACCTTTGATTGCCCGGTCCGGTTAGTGTTAAACGGTTAGTCTTGGAATGGGTCTTTTACATTGTACATGGCAGAAATAAACATCAATTTGTTGAGGTGCATTTCAAGCCGGTGGCTTCGCAGCTGACTTGCCACAATCGCCGGGCCAGCTCGTCATCCTCAGCGAGCGCTGAGGGCGCCATCACCTGGCTGTTGTCAAAGTAGCTGCCAGAGAGCTGAGGTATCGAGTCATCCAGGGCGCAGTGGAGGGTCGTCTGGGCGCCTGCTTCCTCGTCTATCATAAAGAGCCTGGTGACGAACAATAACATCATCAGATTTCCCACAGAAATGAAATACCATGACTTTCCCTAGGACAAAATAAGGGCTTTCCGTGACTTATTTCCCCGCTGTTTGTAGACAGTTGTCCTGGAGGCACGGGACACCACTCTCTTTCAGCCTTAAAGTTTGACATACCACTGCGCACCACAGAGTCATCGCAGTGGTGCATTAAAGGAGCAACAAATGTACACCATAAAGAAGAAGTACTAGTTAATGGAATGCAAACCGGAAGCCTGCCATAGCCACATACATGTATTTTGCATCATTACGTATGGGTTGTGCAAGATTCCATGATTTTGTTCTCGGAATATCAACTTTTTATGAACTGCAGAGAAGATGTATGTGCAAAACATTTTTGGACCTCACAACTGGATTTGGTTCCCAACCCAAAAAAGTGTGCCCACCTTTTACAATGTTAGTTTTCTTCCGGACGATACTATTTCAGACCGAAGAGTTCACAGTGTATGTGGTACCTGTCCTATCTTCACCGTTGAGCAAGGTCTAGATCTGTTAGAATAGGTAGGTACTTTTCCGGATAATTTCAAACCATCCTACATGGCTTTAAAAGCTGTATATTCCAAAACTGTTATAACTTGCTGAGAATGAAAGCCTTACTTGGATGGCGTCTCAACCATGCATTTTTAACTTACCACATTAAAGGAGACAGTGTGTAGTAAAGAGTTTTCATCCACACCGAGTCTTTGTCAACAGTCATGAAGTTTTTCCATATCGGAGTATAGATGGTGCCGGGATGCAGTGAGACGGAAACTACACCGCTAGATACTTCCCGCCTGGCCAGCTCCCGGCCAAACTGAATGTTTGCCACCTTGCTGAAGTCGTAGCCCTCCAAGTGAGGATACAGCAAACTGGCCACGGCTGGGTCCTCGCGAGTCAGATTCATGGGCTCCGGGGCGAAATAATGGGCGGCGGAGGAGACGGTGACTACCCGGCTTGGGGAGCTCTTCTTCAGCAGGTCCAGGAGGAGGTTGGTCAGCAGGAAGTGGCCGAAGTGGTTGACGCCGAAGACCAGATCGAAATTATCCGCCGTCGCCGCGGCTCGCTGCTGAAAACGGGCAAGACCTGCAAACGGGTTCATATTATGTGAAATAAAAACATAAATTTCTTATATTATAATGCTTCGATAGAAAGGAAAAATTCTTGCTTAAGCAACAAAGTTTCACTTGTTATTCCAACAAGTACGCTTGTTAAAGAAAACTCAAAACAAAATACTTTAAACAAACATACTTTGTGAATGCCAAGACTTAAGTTTTGGGGTGGGGAATCGATCAATCTCTCTGCCTCGATCGAAGTTGAATGGAAAACATGTGCATGGAGTTCATACCTGCATTGTTAACTAGAATGTCAAGTCTTTTCTCTTCTTCCTTAATTTGTTGAGCAAAGTCCCTGACCGACTTCAGGCTCGATAGCTCCAGCTTGCGCACCACAACCTCCGAGTTGCCCGTACGCATTTTTATCTCCTTGGCGGCGTCTTCAGCCTTCTGGAGATTGCGACAAGCGAGGATGACCCGGGCGCCTCGCTTGGCAAAGTCGAGAGCTGTCCACCAGCCAATACCGGAGTTTGCTCCTATTTAAAACAAAACAGGACAAGGCAAGCCGAGTTAATCTGGTTCTTTTATTGCAACTGGTCTAGTCAGCCGGATTTAGCCCGTTTACTGGAGTTACAGGGTAATCATATACAATAGCACTGCCCGGCTCTCATCATCAGCCAACAACTAGTCTAATTACATATACATGTAGGATGGCCCTTTAGTACCAGCTAAAACAGAATCGTTAACGGCCAAATGCTGCCACATGATAGTTAAGCCCAAACTTGATTGTTCTGCCCACCTGTTACAATGGTCGTCTTTCCATTGAGCTTAACGTCGTCGGTGAAGTACTTCCGATTGACAAACATATGCCAGTAAAACACAGCATACAGTACCACTAGGATCGGCACCAGCCACTTGGCTACTCTAGACAGCAGCGCCATCATTTTGCAGAACACAACGTACATCAACACTCATTAGCAGTATATGTGCAGGGTGGTGTGTGATTTGAAAACCGTTGACCCTAAGACTATATTAAACATTAACTGCAAGGATGCATGACTGTGCATTACCATTGTTCTCTTCTGGACTGTATACAGTGTTGTGGCGCTCTTATGTAATACCAGACGTGGCGCTCTTATGTAATACCAGACGTGGCGCTCTTATAATACAAATTCTTGTAATACCCTCCTAATCTTGTGTGGCTATATAAGCACGCCCGTATTCATTGTTCGTGGCAGTTGGCTTCAGGGCGTTGGCTCCGTCATGACTTTCTGTACCAGTTTCTGTAGTCATATTAAATTATTTGGAAGCGGAGTTTAAGTTTCCTGTGTTTGGATTTGAGTTGTCCAATGTCTGTTCTTATAAATTCCTAATTCGCCACATCACAAGCATCATAAGAAATGGTGGAAGATCCGCACCAACTCTGTGTTCCTACACCGAGCTTTCCCGGTCCTTCATTCCGGACTCTGACGGCCAACGCCCCGGTCAGCTGCCCTTGCCGGGCACGGTAAGTTTTTTTTTACTTTTCAAAGTGGCATCAGTTTCGTAGGTTTCATTTTCTTTTGTAAATAAAGTATTAAAGGGTATACTAGACACAGTTGTAGAATTATACAGTAAATGATATAAAGTGGCGGATTGTCCAAATTAGTTTCATTTGATTTCTGTGTTCAAGTATCAATCCTTCAATGTTTATGGAAGTCGATCTAGAAGAAAAACCAACAATGTCGGGCACCAAATATGATTTAGCCTCTAGTGGACTAAAATATTCAGGTCTTCCCGAAGAGGACGTCGACGAATTTATTTCTAGATTAAGGACTTTGGCCTCATTAAGAGATTTTGCAGATGCCAAAAAAGTCTTGGCTTTACAGTCTCGAATATTTGGCCACGCCCGAATTTTTCTAGAAAGTGTGCCGAATGAAGACAAAAATTCAGTAGAGAGTATCCAAAAGATTTTGAAGAAACATTTTCAAGGTGACTCTTGGGTGTGGCAAGTTGAAACAAAATTGCTTGAACGAAAACAACTACCTTCCGAAACATTGGATGATTATGCTTCAAATATTATGCACATGTGTCAACAAGTTAAGAAATCAAGTGCAGAGTGTCTTTCCATATTTGTACGTGGATTATTACCATCCATTCGGGCATTTGTATTTTCCAAACAACCGAAATCATTCCATGATGCTCTTGATTATGCTAGACTGGCTATTTCTGTGCAACAAACGGCTCACGAGCCGGATAGATTGAAAGCAAATGATTCTAATCCTAGTGTTTCCGTAAATGCCATCCATTCCACTCTGCAATCCCTTACAGTAACCACGAATTCAATTGCGAATAGGTTGGATAGGTTGGAACAACAGAAGGAACAAAGTCCAAAGAAACCAATTTCACCTGGTAGAGCTAATCCTCAGCAATCCAATCGTTATCCATTTACTTGTCACAGATGTGGTCGCACAGGTCACAAATGGCGCTATTGCCGAGCTACTTTCGATGTCTTAGGTAATCCTTTAAACTAAGGAGCCCACCTGTTAATGTCAAAACTTCAAAAGTTCAAACACCGACAGGTGGGGAAGCCTCAGACAAACAAAAAGAAGGCCTTGTGAATTCACAAGTAAAGAGTAATTCTGAGTGTGTTGAAATGAATTTGAGTTCTTCAAGTACAATTGATGTAAAGATTTATCATGTACAAGTTGAAGCCCTTATTGATACTGGTGCTTCCATTAATCTGATCGATAATGACTGGCTTTTAAAACATCTGCCTGCCATGCACCATTTAATCGAAAAACCTCGTTTGATGAGTGCTAAAACGGCTAATAATTCTGACTTAGACATTACAGGGTTTATTACCTTACCAGTGGCTATGTGTGACACCTGTTTTCAAATAGAATTCCATGTTGTGTGTAGACTTACCTCACATATGATTCTTGGTTCACATTTTCTAAGCGAACAGTGTGCTAACATAGATTATAGGTCACGTAAACTACGACTTACTAAGAAAAACCAGTTGCGTGTTCTTAAGAAGCAAACAATCCCACCACGCTCTCAAACCGTAGTTTGTGCAAAAGTTTCAAATCAACTTCCTGTAAACACTGTTGGTTTATGCCTTGGAGGTAGACATATTACGTCACTAGGTGTAATGGTGGCACGCACCGCAAGTCAGGTTACAAATGTCAAGGGTCAAGCAAATGTATTGGTCATGAATATTTCTGAAGATCCAATTACTTTGTAAGTGCGTACCAAACTGGGAACGTTCAATTTAATCGATCCCTGTGAGTTAGTACCAATGACAACGATAGATCTTAAGGAACATGAGGCATACGTTGCAGAAGTTAAAACTTCTTCTGACAGTAACAACCCAAGTTTGAGTGAAGCTTGTTGTGAGAAAACAGTGATTTCTGGAAAACAGACAGAAGAAATTCTCTCCAAAGTCATGTTGAATACAGATCACATGTCTAATTCAGAAACAGCTGCAATAACTCAGCTAATATCAGATTATTCTGACATTTTCCAAGTTGATGGAGGACCTAGAGGCCGATATTCAGGAGTTAAACATACTATTAACACAGGAGATCACCCCTCGATTAAGTCTCGGCCCTATAGACAACCACCTCACATCCAACAGGAAATACAAAAACATGTCAAGAGTATGTTGAACGAAGGCATTATTAGAGAATCCACTAGCCCATGGAGTTTCCCAGTATGTATGGTACCAAAGAAAGAGCAGGGTTCATATCGTTTTTGTGTAGATTTTCGTAAGCTAAATAAGATCAGTATTATGGATAATTTTCCATTACCGAACATATCTGATGCACTTGATAGCCTAGGCATCATTAAACCACAGTATTTTTCAACTCTAGACCTAGCAGCTGGATATTGGCAAATAGAACTTGAAGAATCATCCAAATCCAAGGCTTGCTTCATTACGCAAGATTCTCTGTATGAATTCCAGGTACTTCCATTTGGTTTGCACTCTGCCCCTGCCACATTCCAAAGAGCTATGCAAGAAGTGTTGAGAGGTCTAAATTGGAAATTTGTGCTGTGTTATCTAGATGATGTAATAATCTTCTCAAATACATTTGCAGAACATTTACATCATTTGAAGCAGGTGTTTGATCGTTTTCGTAACTCTGGTCTTAAATTACAGCCAAAAAAATGTGTTTTTGCCCAACAAAAGATCAAATATTTGGGCATGGTTCTGAGCAGTGAAGGGATTGAAACCGATCCTGACAAGGTAGAAGTTGTCAAAAATTATCCTACACCAAAGAAAGTTTCAGAAGTAAGATCATACCTTGGATTTGTAGGGTATTACCGTAAATTTATCAAGGACTTCTGTAGGATTGCAGAACCTCTCACTAACTTGACTAGAAAAGATGTGCCATTTATTTGGAGTGAAAGTTGCCAAACTGCATTTGAACAACACCTGGTTGAACCACCTATTTTAGCGTTTCCCAGATTTGATGGTACATAATTTTACCTTCAAATAGATGCGTCTGGAAAAGGACTCGGCTTTATTCTAGCCCAAGTCCAAGACGATAAAGAAAGGGTCATTGCCTATGGTGGTAGAGCATTACATAATGCAGAACGCAACTACACTACGACTGAATTAGAGGCTCTTGCAGTTGTCGAAGGTGTAAAGAAATATGCACAGTATCTCCAGGGAGTAAAATTTACTGTTGTTACTGACCATTGCGCATTAAAGTGGCTATTTGACAGTAAACATGCTACTGGTAGATTAGCACGTTGGGCACTTAAATTACAGTCATATAACTTTCAAGTTGTACACGTCAAAGGCCGAAATTGTCATGTAGATACACTTAGTAGAATTGACTATGATAGATCCTGTACTGAATGTAGTCGGTGTCATGTTTCTGACAATACTGTTCCGACACCAATGGATACCAGTTGGGTAGAAACAGATTTTGATGATATTGATGATGAAGTTTTGTGTTCTGCTGATGAAGTTAAGTCTTCCAGTCCGAATGTTAATGTTGTAAAGAATTTAAGATATCAGCATGGAAAGAGGATACAGAGTAACGACTGTGTTGAAAAACAGGCTCCTCAATTTCCAACTGGAATTAATCTTGAAAATTTCAAACAAGCATTAGCAGTAGATGACTTTTCTGGTACGATGCTAAAGTTTTTAGAAAGAAACGAATTACCAGACGATGACAAAAAGGCCAGAAATCTGATACTACAAGCCGATCAATATTTTGCCAAAGATGGTTTATTATATCATATTTGGCATACTCCGTCAAATCGACACATGCCAGAACGGAATATATATCAGTTGTATGTACCCCAACTGTTTGTAGGCACAGTACTTGATAATTGTCATGACAGTGTCCTTGCCGCTCATTTTGGATTTCATAGAACTTATAGCAAAATCCGTCAACGCTACTATTGGAAAGGAATGTACAAAGATGTAGATAATTGGGTGCGTAGTTGTATTTCATGTGCTCAGAGAAAAACGCATAGACACAAGGTTTTAGCACCGTTGATTACAATGAAAGTCCCTAGGCCTTTTGAACGAGTAAGTGTTGATATTCTTGGGCCATTACCTGTTACAACAAATGCTAACCGTTATGTTCTCTGTTTCACAGATCACTGTACGAGATGGCCTATTTTGGTTCCATTGAAGAACATAGATGCATCCACAGTAGCTAGAGCACTCTACGACAATGTTATTTGTGAACATGGGTGTCCAGAGACTCTACTAAGTGACAGAGGATCAAACTTTCTTAGCAAGGTGGTATTAGAGGTGTGTCGAATCATGCAAACTCACAAATTGAATACCAGTTCCTATCATCCTCAATGTAATGCTATTCAAGAAAGGTTCAACTCGGTGAGAAATGGTATCAAGGATAACTATGTAAATACATGTCATAATGATTGGGATCAATACTTAACCTCCGTACAGTTCGCGTATCGCACTACACCTGCTGAAAATTCTGTGGGATTCAGCCCCTTCTTCCTTTTATATGGTAGAGAAGCAAGGTTACCCTTAGATGTGACACTCCTTACAAATTCCAATTATCCAGAGAAAACACTTAGAGAGCACATGCATCACTTAGTTTCCCAACTTGAAGTTTTTCGAGATGTATCCAAGCGTCATGCAGAGCTCAATCAAGCCAAAATGAAAGAGCGTTTTGATGAAAAAGCACAAAAGGTACCATATCAAGTTGGAGACACAGTTTGGATTTATATTCCTGCATTCCAAAAAGGACTATCCCGTAAACTTATGAAGTTTTGGGCTGGACCGTATCTTTTAGTAGAACAGACATCTCCAGTAAATTTTCGAGTTAGAAATCTTGAAAATAATAAATTACTGTCTTCCCCAGTGCACGTGAACCGAATGAAATTTGCATATAACAGATATGTTCGCCCAAGTAATGATTCTGTTCCATTTGATCCAAAGCAGAATACATCAATACCAGGTTTGCAAGAAGATGACTGCCCACAAAATATTTTCCATCCTCTCACGGCAGTACATCAGTCCAGTGAGTCGGAATCTTCTGGAATTCCCTTTGTTCCAGGATTACCGCAGATTTCAGAGAAACCCAAAGAATATGAAATTGAGCGCATAATCAGAGGCAGGTATAAGAATAAGCGACTTGTGTACCTGATCAAGTGGAAAGGTTTTCCTCACTCAAAGAATACTTGGGAACCCGAAACAAATTTGAATGCTGCGGCATTAGAGTTCCTTAAAACACATCCAGTGAAGATTTCAGGTAAAATGTAAAATAAAATTAAATTAAAAAAAAAAATTAAAAAAAAAGAGAAAAAAGAGAGATTAAAATATATAATTGTGTAATCAATTAGCATTGTAATTGTTTTGATTGCATATGTTGTGGCCTTGATATTGTTGTCTTGATTTTGTGATCGACTTTCTCATTTTTATGCCATTTTGATTATTAGAAGAATCAAATTAATTTATGAAACTTACTGCTGATGTCGCTATAATTGTATTTTACTCTTGAACAAAAAGAAGTGTTAAGTTGTTAAAAAGAGTAAAGCTGTAGCAAATAAAGTCGGCTTTATGAAATAAATAAATTATGAATTTAATTTAGTTTACGATGTTTAAGTGATAATTCAGCTTCCAGTGCCGCGCCCTGGATGGGATCGTTGAGGATGTCGGACCATGTGAGGAACCTGCGGCCTGATCAGCCTGATGAGTGACTGTGTGATGTGATGAATGACGAGATGGGAGAACGTGTGGAGGTCCTACGCGGTTAATGGAGACGACTATGAACACCATTTACGACCCGCAACGATCGACCCAGTATGGAATAAATTAGCTGATATTATAACTTAAAAAAATAAAATAATAATAATGTAATTTTGAATAGCTCGAATTTTGTTTATATTTTGTAATTAAATTGTCAGGAGCCAATTCAGTTAGGGGTGGCGTATGTTGTGGCGCTCTTATGTAATACCAGACGTGGCGCTCTTATGTAATACCAGACGTGGCGCTCTTATAATACAAATTCTTGTAATACCCTCCTAATCTTGTGTGGCTATATAAGGGTGCATACCTGCAAATAAACTCCCATAGACACTAGTGCTAAATGCCCGTACTTCAAAATTCTTTTAAAAATACTCAAAACTCTCACAGGTATTCAAGCTGCACAGAAAAATGATGATCAATGTGTCATCTTTCATTTTCTTTTCAATTTATGGTGGGTTGACCATTGACTTTTCGAGATATTTTCACGCAAAGAAGACGACCCCTGTTTTCCCCAAAGCGGAAAAGTAGCCATCTTGAAAAACGATCCCTCCACAACATGGCAAAATAGCGCCACTTTCGAGCCCAATAGCATCCAAAATGCTCAGAATTGGAAGCCCCAAGTCCGGGCTAGAGGTTCACTACCATATCTCTTCAATTCCCCAATTTTACGGCGCTCAGAACTCTCTAATATAGAATATTTTGAGGGTATAACTTTTATTCATGAGCTTGGCGGATCGATTTACAGGTGTGTACCCATAAGCACGCCCGTATACATTGTTTGTGGCAGTTGGCTTCAGGGCGTTGGCTCCGTCATGACTTTCTGTACCAGTTTCTGTAGTCGTATTAAATTATTTGGAAGCGGAGTTTAAGTTTCCTGTGTTTGGATTTGAGTTGTCCAATGTCTGTTCTTATAAATTCCTAATTCGCCACATCACAAGCATCATAAGAACAGTGATACCTGGAAAGTCAACAATATGATGTAATCTATTAGGGCATGTACATCATCATCATGATCATCATTTTTAAACATAGCTCCACTTGTGTGGACGTGCTGCGCTGTACGTTCGGCCACACGTGTGGTTTTCCAATCTACGCAGCCTTGTGGTTGCGAAGGCTTTGCGTCTAGCGTTGTTAAGCAAACTTAATCCGATTACGTACAGTGACGCTAAAACAGAGCGGTAATATTTATGGGTGATATTTATTAATTAATAACTCGTGAAGGAGGCGATAGTGCAAATTTTTACTGCACACCATAATGGATAGGAACCTTATTAATATTCGTGAGGCTTGGTAACCAATGGTAAAAGCCATAATGCTCAATGGTTAAAACAATATCAAATGGTACTCGTATGGTATTGTATAGAAACCAATTGGTACCAATGGTGAATCAATGGTGCTCAATGGTTAATATCAGTATTTATATGGTACCCGTATGGATTGTGTATGGCAACCATGGTGCTAAGTGGTACTAATGGTAAAATTCAATGGTGCTCCGTGGTTAAAATCAATATCAAATGGTACTCGTATGGTTTTGTGTGGAAACCATTGGTGCTAAGTGGTATTACAGTAATGGTAAAAACAATGGTGATCAATGGTAAAAAAACCCCAATATTAAGTAGTACTTGTATGGATTTGTATGGAAACTATTGATGTTTAATGGTAAAATCAATGATGCGCAATGGTTGAAACAACATCAAATGGTACTCGTATGGTGGTGTATTGAAACACATTTGTGCTAATGGCACCAATTCTAAAGTCAACGGTGCTCAATGGTTGAATTCATATGGCTATATATCGTCGAATTAAAATAATTTCGCATGCATTATTTATTATTTTTGGCCAAGCTTCTTGTAACTTATATTAAATTTTAGACTAACATTTGTATGAAATTAATGTGAATAGATTTTTTTTTGGTGAATTAAGATACGTAGGCCTATCAGTATATTCCACAATCACCACCCCACCAAAAGTCACGACAAAATTGGTCTGTGCGCGCGCACTCTTCATTGCCCGGTCCGATAGATATTCCTGGAATGGGTCTTCTACGAGGCAGAAATAAACATTAATTTGTTGAGGTGCATTCCAAGCTGGTGGCTTCGCAGCTGACTTGCCACAATCTCCGGGCCAGCTCGTCATCCTCAGCGAGCGCTGAGGGCGCCATCACCTGGCTGTTGTCAAAGTAGCTGCCAGAGAGCTGAGGTATCGAGTCATCCAGGGCACAGTGAAGGGTCGTCTGGGTACCTGCTTCCTCATCAAGGAAGAACAGCCTGTTTTGAAAATATAACAAAAATATAACAAATTACATAGGGGAACTGACTAAATTCTCTTTGTATCAACACAAGGCATTAAGAACTTGACTGGACAGACGATCATATAAATTAAAGGTCATAACTTCTCTGACGATTCCTGGGTTTGAAATTTCATAACTGAATTTTCAGAACTGAAAACAAGCATGACAAGCATTTTGTTAGTAAGACCATTTTACACCTAACATCAAAGCTTTCGCGAGCATATCAAAGTCAAGGACAGCAGGTTCCAAAAAATGCTTACATTTCTGGAACCAATAGAAATACTGCCAGTTTCGGTAACTCGAAGCAGGTACCTATCTGGCCTGAGATTCATTGGGAAAGTCAGAATCTTTGGGTCTCGAAACCAGATTTACCGGACTTAGTATCTAATACTTGGGTGGTGAGTGGTGACAAATGATCAGGGATCCCATGGAATCTTGTTATGAAATACCATGACTTTTGAAGGACAAACTAAAAGGTTTCCGTAACTAATCTCCCCGCTGTTTCGGGGAGACAGTTGCTCTAAAGGCAAGGGACACCACTCCCTTTCAGCCTTAAAGTTTGACATTAAGGCCACTACGCACCACAGAATCATCACAATGGTGCATTGAAGGAGCAACAAATGTAGACCATAAAGAGGAAGTGTAGTAAATAGAATGCAAACCAGAAGGCTGCCATAGCCACATTATACATCATCACGTACGGGTTGTGCAAGATTCCATGATTTTCCATGATATCTTTAAATTCCATGATTTTGTCTATGACTTAGGGAACCCTGAATTACTGAAAAAAACGTCAGATGAAATTAAATCTAATATTGATCAAAATTTAAAGAAGGAAAAACAATTCTCCGGGAGAGATAGAGGCAGACTGTGTTTGGAATAATCATGGAAAAGATTGCAGTGGGAGAACATTAAATTTTACACTACAATAGTAAATGGATGCACACTTTTCTTGGAAAACATGCGGTTTCTGTACAATTTTGTTGTTTATTTGAAACATTAAACTTGTCCCATAACTGAAGTAGGGTGCATATAACTATATGCTGCAGTTTAAGCTCAGCGATACAATACATTTTATGAAAACATAGAAAATGTATGCACAACATTTTTGGATCTCGCAACTGGATTTTGTTGCCGACGCACTCAAAAAAAGTGTGCCTGCCTAAATTCAAAGTTAATTTTCTTGCAAACGATAACATTTCAGACCGAATAACTTCACATGCTATTTGGTACCAGTCCTATCTTCACTTCTGGTTCTTGTTCTGGTTCTGGTTCTGGTTGAGTCGGTAAAATTCACTCAGGAATATCACACCAACTTTTGTCCTTATGACTCGCATGGAGTGGATGTGGAGATGACTTAGTAAATTGCCTTAGTTGTCCACGAAGCGCTTAGATGCACTATCCTTGAATGCAATTGTGTGTTACATTTGACGACGTTGGCTGGCAACTTGTTCCATATTATGTAATGGTTCTCGGGAAAAAAGAGTTCTTGTAGGCTTCCTTGGTTGCATGTCGTTTGTAGATTTTGTGTTGGTGCCCCCTGGTATTTCTTGTGTTTAAGGTGAGGTGCTCTGCTCGTGAGATGGCAACCAGTTCGTGTTTGGTTTTGTAGAGCGTTGATAGTCTTTGTATCTTCGTACGCTCTTTCAGGCAAAGGCGGATCCAGAACACAATTTTTGGGGGGCCAAAAAAAAATTTGGTCCCCGAAAAAAGTGGGTCAAAAAAATTACGGCGTGGGGTTCGGGGCCCGCTTAAGGGCCCCGAACATTTGTTGGATTCTAGATGCTCTGTGGTGCGATCTGAGGCAATTTCTGACCACTTTAACCAATGTTTTTTTGAGGAAAAGATGGTGGTTTACTCATTGCCTGCCTTTATTGCGATGTCACATAAAAAATAAATAAAATTGGTTTCGTTTTTGGGGGGCCATGGCCCCCTTTGGCCCCCCCCCCCCGGATCCGCCCTTGCTTTCAGGTCTCCCCACTTGAGGTGCTCTAGGATGCCAGTGACTGTTCCCTCTTCCCTATTGTAATTCTTTGTGCAGAATCTTGCTGCCTGTCTTTGGACTCTGTCCAGTGTTTTGGCGTTACACTCGATGTGTTGGTCCCAGGCTGTCACAGCATACTCCAGGTGCGGACGCACCAAAGATAGGTATGCCAAAGATAGGTATGCACATTGAGCAGGGTTTCTAGACCTGTTAGGTAGGTTTTCCGGAGAATTTTAAACGATACTACATGGCTTTAAAAGCTGTATACATTATTCCAAAACTGTTACAACATTTCTGAGGAGAATGGAAGCAATTAATATTTGGATGATGTCTCAACCATGCATGTTTAACTTACCACATTAAAGGAGACAGTGTGTAGTAAAGAGTTTTTATCCACACTAAGTCTGTTTCAGCGGTCATGAGGTTTTTCCATATGATTGGAGTATAGATGGTCCCTGGATGCAGGGAGACGGAGACAACACCGCTAGATACTTCCCGCCTGGCAAGCTCCCGGCCAAACTGAATGTTGGCCACCTTGCTGATGCCGTAGCCCTCCAAGTGAGGATACAGCAAACTGGCCACGGCTGGGTCCTCGTGGGTCAGATTCATGGGCTCAGGGGCGAAATAATGGGCGGCGAAATAATGGGCGGCGGAGGAGACGGTGACCACCCGGCTGGGGGAGCTCTTCTTCAGCAGGTCCAGGAGGAGGTTGGTCAGCAGGAAGTGACCGAAGTGGTTGACGCCGAAGACAAGATCGAAATTATCCTCCGTTGCCGCGGATCGCTGCTGTGCGTATTACGTGAAATTAAAACCTAAATGCCATTACAATGCTTTGATAGAAAGGAGAATTCTTGAAGCAACACGATTTTACTTGGTATTTCAACATTAAGTATTAGATTGAATGATAAAGACCAAATCAAGACAAAAAGACAACAACTGCTGTGATTGGTCAAGGGGTGTGGATAAATCGTCAGCGACACCACGCAGTTCCATTCATGACCATATCAGTAAAAACTAGCAATCGGAGAAAACGGCATCTAAATTTGAACGCCTTCGAAAACGACACTTTGCGTCAAAACGGCAGAGTATTTTCTGTTGGGTTTCTCGTTGTGGGAACTTGATGTATTAAATTTATTAAATCTGCTGTTTTACCCGTTTGTGTATTAAATCAACAAGAAATAAGAGAAAAAAAGGCGAGTGTCCGTTCGTGAAACCGAAAAAGCTGCGAAACTGTAATTTTTTGTTTTCACGAAGTAGTTCGTTTCAATGTATTACAGCATAGTTGAGTGTTACTTCGGGCAGTGTGCGCGCTTAAACAAGGAGAGTGTTATAACATTTGAAGAGAGTGTTTCTTCGTGAAAACGTTTTTGCTCGCATTTCAGAAGAGTGCGCCATGCATTACAATGGTAAATGGAACTTGAGTGGTACTTCGTGAAAACGATAATTGTCACTTTTGCGCAAAAGTTGTCATGGATAATTAGCGTTATTATTAAAGTAAAGCTCTTGAAGCTTTGAAAATTCGTGCAATGTAGGCCTTGATGAATAATGTTTAAAAATGTAAGAAAAAGACTGAAAATTGAAAAAAAATATGGTTTAACACATGGAGTATTACTTGGTGGTGTCGGTGACGAAATGGATCGTACTATCTGTCTCTCTACCTCTATTTATGGAAGTTGAAGGGAAAAACTGTGCATGGAGTTCATACCTGCATTGTTAACTAGAATGTCAAGTCTTTTCTCTTCTTCATTAATTTGTTGAGCAAAGTCCCTAACTGACTTCAGGTTCGATAGCTCCAGCTTGCGCACCACAACCTCCGAGTTGCCCGTACGCATCTTGATCTCTTTGGCGGCGTCTTCGGCCTTCTGGAGATTGCGACAAGCGAGGATGACCCGGGCGCCTCGCTGGGCAAAGTCGAGAGCTGTCCACCAGCCAATGCCAGAGTTTCCTCCTTTTTAAAACAAAACAGGACAAGGCAAGCCAACTTAATGCGTTATTTTGTTCATGCATCTGGTTTACTTAGTAAGCCGGATTTAGCCCGTTTAGGTTACAGGGTTATATAGCACTGCCCGGCTCTCATCGTCAGCCAACAACCAGTCTAATTCACAAGGACACTAGGCCGGCCCTATAGCTGGTACCAGCCAGAGCCGTATAGAGAGAGTTGCGACAAATAACCCATTTGCGAGCTAAATTTGAATTCAATCTGGAACGCTGACTTAATACAATGCTTTGCACGTTTTAATCTAGCATTTTTGATCTCCCGACCAAAGAGAGTGTTACTGTATCACATGATTTGGGGCAAGCCTTATGCTAGCAACCCCCAGCTTCAGCATGGTCTGGTGTCTTTGTGCCATTCTCACCCATTGTGAACAATGTATTGGTGCTGAGCGTCCCTTAACTATGCAAGAGCTTGCCCGAATCATGTGATATAGCAACAGTGTCTTTGGTCTGGAGAATTCAAAGTTAAAATGTGCCAAGCATTCTGAGCAAGTCAGTGTACCAGATGTTTTTTAAATGTAAATCCCAAAGGGTATAGGTTACTCACAAATGGCTTATTCAGACCGTTGAAATGGTCGGTCATTACTGTGTATACATAAAATGCAGTGTGCGACTACTATGTACCATTATATATGTGCACTAATGCATAGTCCACCATTTTGGTTCCAAACAGTGCGACCCTCATGTCGCAATTAACTTTCTCTAATATACGGCTCTGGTATCGGCTCAAACAGAATTTAACCCTAACCCCCCCAGTAGTTCCTCAGGACTACCCTGCTTTGATCCAAAAGAGTCCAACCGGAGTTTCCTGCTCAGTCCACTGTCCAATTTTTTTTCAGTTGTCAGCTGACTAGTCCAACTTGGCGTTATATTGCGATTCCTGCAGTTGCTAGCTAGGATGATCCTAAGCGTATGTTTATGCATAACATGCAGTTGCCTGCTGAATCCAACATTAATGCATCAGGAATGTTCACAATTGACGTACCCGTTCCGTGGAAATATAGTTGCAACGAGGGAGAAAAGAATTGTTCAGTCTTGGATCAAGACTAGCGAAACTGAAGACTTGGCTTTTTTTATGCCGTCAAGAGAGGGCGTGTTTTGTTCAGGGCATGTGACCAAACAGCTGTACGGTGTACACACGATCGAAGCCGATACGGAGAGGAATGCTGCCTAAAATGTCTCCTTTTTGACAAGGTTAGAAGGATTTATAGCTCCGTGCTTAGTTTCCTGAAGTTATGATGTAGGACTAACTGCATAAATAGTCAAGCGAAGGGAAAAAAATATGGAGTAAACTAGTATGCAGATCGACGCCACTTCATGAGTTTTACTTTAGTTTTTTGTTCATTGGTTGTGAGGAATGTCGGACACTTCGCCCCATTTCCACGTCGCCCCATGTCACTTCGCCCCTAACCACTTCGCCCCATCCCCACTTCGCCCCATCCCCACCTCGCCCCATTCCCACTTCGCCCCATTCCCACTTCGCCCCATCCCCAATTCGCCCCATCCCCACTTCGCCCCATCCCCACTTCGCCCCATCCCCACTTCGCCCCAGCTGTTACTAGTTAGCCCCACTAGTGTGGCCGTCGGTATGCTGCACTGAACCTCTTCAGCGCAGCATACCGACGGCCACACTAGTGGGGCTATTACTAGTGTTAGTGTTACATGTAAAAAAAAAAAAAACTCATCTATTTTATTGGCTTAAAAACAATTCCAACAGATTCACTAATTGCTAACCAACGGAAAGAATTAGCCCACCAAATGAACAATTGGTAATCCTTACTTTTAGGACCCCGTTCCTATATAGGAAGGGAAAGACTCACCAAAACAGTTGACTAAATGACACTCAAAATTGACATTCTGATACTTCTTGGCACATCTGAACAATTGGCAATGACACCTTCTTGACTTCTTAAGACTGCTTTAGCCTGCAAAAGTCACTTTGGAACTGGACAGACATCTGCAAAAGTCAGTTTTGAACAGAACTCGTGAAAAATAGAGGTGTCCTAAAAGTAAGGATTACCGAACAATTCATAACCAACCTCTCAAGCTATCGAAAAAAGCTTGAAGTAAAAGATCCAACTTTGTTCCCAACCCGGCTATACCAACCCGGCTATACCAACCCGGCTATACCAACCCGTCTCCCACTTATCTGAGAACGACAATATACCTTTGACACAACCTCGTCCCCAGTGCTTACTTTATTTCCAACCGCGTTTCCAATAGTAAACCCTGGATAGGAAACTTTCTTCCTGTATCCTGATTGGATACCGCAATTGGCTAGTAATGGATTTTTATCATGTACTTGGTGCTAGGCCTATATATTCACAACGTGTAGTACGTGTTTTCGCGATCAGTCGTCCACGCCTTCTCGAAAATACTAATTTCCTTTCCAATTTGCTCATATTATTATGAAATATGATACTGCATGTTGTCTCGATAAGATCGTAACAGTTTGATTTCAAAAATCGTGTTTTCGTAACTCACGCCGTGCTCGCGCTGCTACGAAATGACTCTGTTTGTACCCCAGACACCGCATACAAAAACAAACGCTAATGTGTAACGCATATCCAGGCACCAGACTGTTCCTCATTTGCATACGTGTGCAAAAATCTTGCACATGCAAATGATCCAATACCAGGGTGAGAGAGCAGGTAGTGGTGGGTGCGTACTGCTCGACACCCTGGGGACAAGGTTGACCTTTGACATCCTAATTTCACTCTTGGAGAAACCAATCTACATGGGGCGAAGTGGGGATGGGGCGAAGTGGGGATGGGACGAAGCGGGGATGGGGCGATGTGGGGATGGGGCGAAGTGGTTAGGGGCGAAGTGACATGGGGCGACGTGGAAATGGGGCGAAGCGTCCGACACCCGTTGTGAGTGGAGCGTTAAACAACGGTACCCTCCAGGCTCCATACTAACGTTCCACCGATTTGGCATATTACTTTGGTGACAAGTACACGGTATGTATTTTGTGCATACCCTCGTACAACGAGGACAAACATGACAAAAGGCCCCCAAAACTACATGTAGCTTGAGTAACTCCAGCTGACATGCTCATACTACATGTATATATTCATTCACATGTAGCGCTGGAGACATAATTACCTATTCGTTAGAGTGTGATGCATGCATTTACATAATTAACAAAACCAAATGGACGACAGCCGTTGCAACTGGCGTTTTTTTTACGGACAAGCCACCAAAATCGTCAAGATTTTTCACATTTGTTTTTTTTGTGGTCTGTTTCAAGTTGATCATTAGCTTCGTGAATGACTGCTGAATGTATGAGGTATGTAAATGAAATCTGGGGTCGCACTAAAAAGCGTCAACACAGCGTCAACACAACGTCAACACATGACAGAAGCGTCAACACACCGTCAACACATCCAAAACACATTCTGAATTAACAGAAAAGGTAGGCCTATATAATTGTAAAGCATAGAATAAAAGAGAATTTTCATTGAATTGACTTTCCATTTCGTTGTTAGAAATATAGTATTTTCACGCGAAAAAATGACCCTTCACTTGCACGGCCGTTGCCACCATTTTGACTTCGCACAAAGCTTGGACTACACCATTTCAAGTAGGGGTGTGCAAGTAATCTTGTCATAAACAACAGAGGGCGTCTTGCTGCAGAGAGGGACACCAGTGCACTCTGATCTGTGAGGGACTGAGGTTTATTGTACAACGCTATCACCCTTTAGCATAATGGTATGGTCCGCGCTGCCACTGAGGCAACATGGCAGCCGATCTCGGAGCAGCACGGAGAGCCAATTTTCTTGAACTGAAAATCGCAATTTTCAGACGTTTAACCAGAGTTGTAATAACTCGAGTCAATGACTCGACTCGAGTCCGACTCGAGTCACATTTTTTGGTGACTCGACTCGACTCGAGTCCCGACGGGTAAATGACTCGACTCGACTCGAGTCACTGCGAGCAAATGACTCGACTCGACTCGAGTCCCTCATCAGAATGACTCGACTCGACTCGAGGAAGGCTAATAAGACTCGAGTCCCAAAATAAAAGCAGAACTTACTTGCGAAAAATATTTAACGTTGTCAGCGATCAGCGAACAACAAAATCTAGACCCAAAGCCAAACCAGTTATAAGACAGAAGTTTCACATCTTCTTATCTGTGACGTGAGCTAGCAATGGAAACTGTTGGTTGGGTACCATACAGCATACTTTATGTCTTTGGATTTCCGTAATAGACTGGTGCCTTGTATTCTTTCTCTCTTGTGTTTGTTGCTTTTTATTGTAATTAAGTGTTCAAATATTTGTGACTCGAATTGACTCGGGCTAAATACTTGACTCGACTCGACTCGACTCGACCACACTCTGTGACTCGACTCGACTCGACTCGACCTTGTTGACCTAATGACTCGACTCGACTCAAGTCACTTCTTTAAAATGACTCGACTCAACTCGAGTCACAAAAATCAGTGACTCGTTACAACTCTGCGTTTAACCTATTGATTTTAAGCCAAAATCTTGTTTCTGTCCATACTATATGGGCTACATACTGCTTTTGTCACTTTTAATGCATTTTGGATGTGTTGACGCTGTGTTGACGCCGTGTTGACGCTTTGGAGTGTGTTGACGCTGTGTTGACGCTTTTTAGTATGACCGGAAATCGGGGGTGGGATATTAGAGGTGAAAATGGACAATTTTTGAGAGAGGTCTCTTGCTACCACATTCTAACGACTAGGTTATGTCTCCAGCGCTACATGTGAATGAATATGATTATGAGCATGTCAGCTGGAGTTACTCAAGCTACCCAAAACTGGTAAAGAGAATACAAATGAGAAAGACAACCCTGGATACATATGTAGATCCACACATTCATGACATTGCATAAGACCCCTTAAATTGTTCCAAACAACCGGTAATTTAAAAAAAAAAAAAATATTCTGAACTTACCGCTCACAATTAAATGTGTCTGCCGAGTTGGACAGTCCATTTCACTGACATGACTGATGCATAATTCATCGTGCGCGTGTGTGACGTCACCATTGAAGAAAACAAGTTGCTCTTAATCAATGACTGTTTCATGTTCTGACCTCTGATATGTGTCCCGCTCCAAAAACCCACACTGTCAGACGGCGCGGGGCACATAGGACTATGTACATAAAACAGTCGTTGAGATGAGAAGCATATTAAACGGCGATCGTGTGGTGTAAGGCCCCTGTTTAGTTTCGATCAAATTAGAGCCAAAAAGGATGTTTTTTTATTACCTAAACTTAAAGCAGACGGTAATCCTTACTTTTAGGACCCCGTTCCTAATCCTAAGGGAAAGACTTACCAAAACAGTTGATTAAATGACACTCAAAATTGACATTCTGATATTTCTTGACACATCTGAACAATTGGCAGTGACATCTTCTTGAATATCAGCAGGTTTCATTTCAAGAAAAGAGATCAGGGCTATTCCATCATCAACAATGGGTAAATAAGCAATAGCACACTTTTCTTCCTCATTTTTTCCTACTATAATTCGAGGAATCTCTTTATGTCTGTCCACATGTAAAAAATGTGCGTTCAACCTGTGAGTGTGCATTCAACCTGTGAAAACAACACCATTGAATCGTGTGCGTTGTTTGTATGAGCAGTTCTCTGCCCCTTCCGTACAGGCACATTTTCGACGGGCCGTGCCTAGTGTTACCAAATTTGCTAACCATGCTTACTGGAAAATGTCTGATATCTCACTTCTTGCAAAACATGCTGGTTTTAGAACATCATCAATGTTTGTGATCTACAACTTTAGTTTTTCTGCAGCCAGCAGATCGAGATCAGCACATCTGCCATCCGGTCCCTACCTACATTACTACCTTCACATGTGTTAAATTTACAATACTCCTGGGTGGAGAGAGGCAATTGTAGTAAAGTGTCTTGCCCAAGAACACAAGCACCATGTTTCCCGTCAGGGCTGAAACCCATGGCACATGATTTCAATAACCTAAAAGTTTGCTTCTTTTGTGTGTTTTCTCACAGGATCATGCCCGTAAGTTAACAGTCACCATGATAAGTCTCACTATCAGACAGGACCCTCTGTAGTTTTGTGAACAGATGATGTCACACCGTTAGCAACATGGCCAAGCCGTTGACGAGCGGGAGTGGAACCACGGCCCACCCGGATGGGTTTCACATTTTGGCCGAACTGGTATCAGCCGAAGGCCTGACATCACCCATCAAAGCATCCGGTAGAATAAAGGTAAAAAGAAACTAAAAGTGTAGTAACCTGACGCCACTTTGGAAATGTATAAAAAACAAAATTGTCATCTTAGGCCAAAAAAAAAAAGTCTCCGGTTTCTGGTATGCAGGCGCGTCGCCGTAGCCTTGCGCATCGACAAAATGAAAAAGTTTGTTTTCCAATGAAAGATGATGTCTCAAAACAACCAAACTCACTGGTTTGACCATGTTGACTGGAATCCTGCTGCTGCACAATTTTAACGTGTTTTTGGATGGGGTTATGATCGAGAATAAGCTCTATGTGGCCTCTCTGTACTCCCATATATTTGCACTAAGTTTAGCCGCGTCGCCACACCACTTTTTGGGCAAGCTCCATACCAGAAACTGGAGACTTTTTTTTTTGGCCTAAACTTGTTTCTTAGATTATCATCGTTCGTATATTGTATATAACACCGCAAGAAATTTGTTCGCATTCCTCTAGTAGCCTGTTTGCACATGGATGTGCATTTTCATAAAATTAATACGAACAAATGAAGTAGCGTGTTTACATAATTTAAATAAAAAAGTCGTGCAATTTTTTAATTCAAATTCGAAATTATTTTATCGCGTGACTCAAAACACGTATTGCACCTGGAACCTGTACCTGAACGTTGTTAACAATAGTGTGAAAATTTGTTTATATGCAGTTTTCGTTTTTGTTTTCTTGTTTTCAATTTTTTTTCAGTACACTTGTATTGGTGTTTCTAAGAATTACATCGGTCTGGGTGCGTCATCCGGTAGTCTCTACGTCTTTCATCGCAACACTTTCAAGTATCTTCAGGTTTTCTCCAACACGGTAAGTCAAGTTTGAAGCATCGGGAACAGTAGATAGGAAGGACCCTATGGAAACAATTGTAAATCCGTGTACACATTTTCAAAAATGTGACTTGTTCTGTCAAAAGCAGACGCTTCTGGGCAGAGGTTGAAATTGAGATACATGTAGGGCCAAAAAACGCTGTGGGGGTGATTTTTTTTCAATTTTCTAATTTTTGCATATTTGTAATCCTGAACATGTCTAAAATATACTATAAAAGTTTGAAACCCTTATTCGAACTCCAAATATAGTATTTTTGATGATTTGTTAAGATACATCAGTTAAAGAAATTACTGTTTTGTGACGTTTGTGGCCATTTTCTCCGTTTTCTACTTTTCGACACAACAAACTTCAAAATAGCATAACTCTACCCAGGAATGACCGGTTTCAAAAATTAAACCCCCTATTAAAAGGAAAAAAAAACACCATATTTTAACAATATGCAAAAATCTCATTTTTGACCTTATGCCCAGAAAAGTCTGATTTTGACAGAACAGGTCACATATGTTTAAATGAAATACGGATTACACAATGGGACAGGCGTTAACGCAGTCTTCCTTTGAGTTAAACGTGCAATGGAGAAAACAATTCAAGATGTTTTCAAACTCTGTTTAACCAGTTCGCGCCGGAGGCAGTGTATACAGGCAAAGGTTTTGTGATATTCGGAATGGATGACAGATAAACACGCAGGGAGCCAGGCCGGAAATATCTGTCAGCGACTTGCTCGCAGCGAGCGAGGCTGGGAATATGAGTGTGCTGCCCGAGGGTGATGGCTTCAACCCGCCTGGCTTGAGGTCGAGTGAAAAGTAATCCAGCACCTCGTTCCGTTCCGTTCTTGTCAAAAAAATCCCGGCGCGAACTGGTTAATTTACAAAACCTTAGAAGCACTGCAGTAATTTAAGATGTGAGGCTTTGCATGGTGGGGTATCGGTATCGTTTCGGTTTGCGGTAACACCATGTGGTAATAACTACTGCTTAGAAGATATTAGTTCTGAAAAGAACTTGTCCTGCTTATTATCAACTTTGCTAAGTAGTTTTTTTGTTCTGATAAGAACAGACTGTTCTTATCAGAACAAAAAACTACTTAGCAAAGTTGGTAATAAGCAGGACAAGTTCTTTTCAGAACTAATATCTTCTTATCAGAACAAAAAACTACTTAGCAAAGTTGATAATAAGCAGGACAAGTTCTTTTCAGAACTAATATCTTCTAAGCAGTTTGTTCTTATCAGAACAAAAAAACTACTTAGCAAAGTTGATAATAAGCGGGACAAGTTCTTCTCAGAACTAATATCTTCTAAGCAGTAGTTATCACCACATGGTGTTACCGCAAACCGAAATGATACTGCAGTAATTGATTACATTTGGGGTACACGTAGTTAAGTTTTTACTTTTTCAATGACTGCCATTGTTGATTCATCATGACAATCACATCGGTCTGCAGACATAATGAACATGTATCAGCCTTTGTGAATGTGGCTAATAATTTAAACGTCTCTTGAAATATTTGCTAAACGTGTGCCCACTGCTTTGTGCACACATGCATGAAAAGACTTGGAAACCAATGAACAGCCATTTTCAATTGAGGGAATAGACATTTGAGCACTCTGGGACCAGCTTTACTAGGCCTGCCTTGACTGGTTCTTATGCATACATGTACGGTACAGTTGTACGTACGTTTCCTTACATGATTGTGTGCTACATGTACATGAATGTTTGCATTAACTTTGTATAGTATACATCGTACAGTGGAAAATGTACATGTACGGGGTACATCCATGTAATATAATACAGGCATGCAACTTTTCCTCGGATCAGCTGATTTCCTCTTTTTGTACTTCCCATGTGTGCCATTGAAAATAGAAAAACACTGTACAAAGTCTGGGAAAAATTGAATTTCCTCTTTTTTGGTGATTTCCCAGTTGCATGCCTGATAATAATTGCACATGTTACACAATCTATTTTGCCTGTTTTATTCATAAAACCAAATCATTTTCCCTACATGCCTGTAAATTACTTGATCTTATCTGTGTGTCAATTGACCATAGTCCAATATCCAAAACCGAAACACAACACAGAAACAACAAAGGCATTAATCGAAACCTGCACAAGTTGTTTACAAAAGATAAGCAATATTTTGTGTGGTAATTTTTGATTAAATAAATTTGTATACATGTACTTCTTAGAAAAGAATTGTGAAATAGATAGTATACATTGTACATATACATGTGTACATATTGTGCATTTATGTATATATATGCATACATGTGTACAACATGTACATGGAAATGTGCATCCAAAATTGTACACTGTGTACCACTGTGTGCTTCATTCATGTATTTTTTGACATTACAAATGTTTTATACAAGTACGAGTACTAAAACATGCACTATCTTTTCTCCTAATGGATTGTTAACTTGAATATAGTCCTCTGTTGGCCGATTTAAAACCACTTTCAAGAACCATCTTATCTCCCCGTATATAGCATAGTTTGCTTTGTCTTTTGTTGGTTTTTCTACATTCATACCGTTCGCTTTAATTGTGCTTTCTGTTTGCTTGCATCATCCATTTTATAAACTGTGTCGTTGTACATGTATCACTAGTATGTTTCGTATGTCCGTCTGTAAAGTTTATTAAGTTTATGTCCACTTCGTTTGTTTGTCTGTTTCTGTTTTCATTGTTTTGTTGTGTTTTGTCTTTGAATTTAGTCTTCCTTTTTCAGTATTGTTTATATATATACTTTTTTTGTTGTGTTTAAGGCATTCCGTTTATAAGCTCCGGCTTCTGGTGTAATGTCTCCACTTAGTAGTTTTGATGTAACAATTGTTTTGTTTTCTAAAGTGCTTATTCATGTGGAAATAAATGTTTCTGAAATGAAATGAAATTTCATATATTCTGCCTAAAAAACCCAATCTATTTTGTCATGGTGTTCGGTCAAGAAATCTCTGAAAAAAAAGGATTTACTTAGGTTTCCTTTTATAAGCAGAGATACAGGGTATGTATATACACAGTACGTCCCTATACATTATCATTCTTATGGGGGGGGGTGTTCTACCCACATGTATTAATTTTCTAGAGAGCGACATAGCTATGTACTCATTGCACATGTACATGTAGATGTAGCATCTATGCTTGTGCACAAATGTACTGCTTTTGTACGGCTAAATTTACAAATGTACTCTCTGCGTGAACAATGCATGTAGGTGGGGCAACACTTCAATGCTCTTTCTGGTTTCTGTGCGTACGACACGAAGTACTCACGACTTTCTCTATTGCCATTGGCCATGTTGTCAATACGTACATGTACAAGGGTCCTTAACTCATTTTCTTTATTTTCTATTTTTTTTCCAGGAAGGAGCCCTAACTAAAGTAGTGTTTGCACCTAACGACAACATGGTTGGCATAGCAACAAGGTAAAGAAAGCTTTCATTTGAAGAAATGAAGATTGTGAACAAATATAAACAAAATATTGTCCAAATGTCTTTAAGAACATGACACTGGTATTTTTTTTGGGGGGGGATTTGAAAATCTGTGTGTTTGACAATATTCCACCTGAAATTATAACATTCCGAAAAACAAATCATTGAAGTTGTTCTAAAAAAGTGTACCCGCCGCACACATTAGCAACAAACTTCAGTAACGAGACCCCCAAATGTGCTGATGTTTTTTTCTGTTTTCTCAAAATGTACATGCACATGTAATAGCCATTGAGCTAAAACTTGCACCAGTTACATGTATACTGAGGATTTTGAGTAATTTTGTCGCTCTGAAAAAAAATAAATAAAAAAAAAATGTGCACAAGATCAAATGTAAACTATCATCACAAATGAGGTTAAAGTCAGACTTTTTAACATTGAGATATTTATATATCTGGATTCTGCAGAACAAGAGCTTTCTAATGGTACATGTATACAAAATTAAGGGGTACTGAGTTCAGTAACGGAAATATAGACTACCAACTTACTTGAGGTGGTAAAACTGATTCTTGAGAACATAGCATTTAAAAATCCTACAGTTGTGTTACAGTGAATAAACAGTCAACTTATAAAAAAAGGGATGCAATAGGTTTTAAAGATGTTTGACAGAACAGAAAAAAGTGGAGAAAGATAAAGCAGGACTTACAGATTAAGATTCACCTGAAAACAAAAAATCGACTACCCTTCAAATTTTGGCTTTGCCCCACTGTACGGCAAAATGACAATTTCCGACTTAAAGCTCATTTCGTGGTGACAGGTCACAAAATGTTTGGAATATGTATAACAATTTGACCATTTGGTCATTGATCGTCTTTTCTAGCCAAGGCGTTATCATCACATGGGAGCTGAATATTGACAGACGCGTGAAGTCGGAACGCCTCGCGATGTCCTCAGCACATCGCAACGGCGTTGTAACGGCAATGATATGGGACACCACCAGTGAGCGACTCTTTTCTGGTGATAATCATGGACGTATCACATTTGTTAACGTCTACCATCGAAAGGTATGGAAGGGGCTGGGAGTTGTTGGTTTAATGGGTGTGTGCATCAACTAAGGATGGCGGTATTTTTAATTAACCAGTTCGCGCCGGGATTATTTTGACATCGACTGGACCCTGGCGCGGATTGTTTTTCATGAACCTTGATGCCAGACGGGTTCAGGCCGTTATCTGTGGGTAGCACACCCTGATATTTCCGGCCTCGCTCGCAGACAGATATTTCTGGCCTCGCTAGTTGTGTGTTTATCTGTCATCCGTTCCAAATACCGCAAAACCTTTGCGCATATTCACGTCATCCGATGGGAACTGGTTAACTCGAAGCCTGCCAAACGCAACACATTGCATCAGGTGTCAAAGTCTGTGGGACCTTGCTGCATTGAGTGATCAACACCAGTGCATAAATGGCCGCTTCTGAGACAATGAGAGCTCTTCCCATTGAACAATGCCACAGTTGTATCCTGCTGCATTCGGTGACCACAGACTCTGAGGCAGTGTGGCCTTGAGACTTTTGACCTGATGGATCTTGCTACACTGGACAGACTTGTCATTTAGACAAGTGTTGCATGTTGCTGTGTTTGGCAGGGTTTCTAGTTAGGGTTAGGTTAAATTAATAAAGATGCGGTAAACTTAGTAAAGGTTTTCTGTTCTGATCCAATGCCGTCAGGCCGGATTTTACCTCTAGTTTCCATGGCATGAAACGACTGAGAATATTTCTGTACCACCTGGATGGAATGCAGTTCTAGGCTACTCCCGAGCTAATGCTGTACCCATTTATACTCGTGGGTGGAGAGAGGCAAGTTGGGGTAAAGTGGCTTGCCCAAGGACAGAACCTGACCAGCAACAGGATTTAAAAAGAAATGTTACATGAAGATTACATAAGAGCTTGAATCTTTCCAGATTTGCATTTAAGAGGTAATCAGTAGTAAATCTGTGCTTTTGCATGCAGATGTCTGGCCTTTTCAAGTTGCCTACGGAACTCGTGATGGATGCAGACTCGGCCATTGTGCAGCTGGACTACTGCGATGATAAACTACTCGCCTCCACGACAACCAAGTGCTTCATATGTGACACCAAAAAGTATGAAACAAAGTACAGATCCTAATTTTAATGCAAAACTATTCAGGGAATAAAAGTGTGATGGCACATTTTAAACGTTTGGTTTAAACTGGTTCAGAAGCTGGTCTCCGGTTAACCCTAACCACCCAACCCGTCAAAATCCAACTGCATGTTTTGTTGGCATCTGTTGGAGAGAGTACTGCACTAGTCCACTGATTATGCTTAACATGTAGGCATACATGTACCACCATAATCTGAGTCCAACAGTTTGGGTGTTGAGTTTACCATATGGTGTTGGATTTTGCAAGATTGAGGAAGGTTCCTTGTAAATCACTAAAGGGGTTAGGGTTAATGGCATTAGCCGAGGGCGAAGGTCATTTTCAGTGACCTGGCTCCTAAACGAGTTTTAAGCCAAACTTTTAAAATGCTCCATAACATTGTTATTCCCATCATTTGATTTTTGGTCAAAAAAAGAAAGGGAACAAAAAAGTATAAAGTTGACAAAATGTTTCAGATTTTGTTGACCATTTTACTTTATATTGCCATCCGTGTGTTGGCCATTTTAAAAATGACGCCCTTCAAAAAAACAACATTTTTGAACATTTGGGAAACTTTAAGAGTGCTGTTTTTTTTTGCCTTTATTTCTAGCAAAACGGGGAGGAAAATCAGACAGCGTAAACCTAAGGCTTTTATTTTCATGTTGATACTTTTATAAGATGGAATTTTGCGTTGGGGTGATATAAATCAAATTATAGGTTTTGCCCTTCACCGACGTTGAAACACTGTATACTCAGTGTGTTACCTCCCGAGTGAAAGTTGGAAAAAAATCACTCGGGTGGGACTCGAACCCACGACCTCCTGCTTTCTAGTCCTGCTTTCAAGTGGTAAGACATCTACACTAGCAAATAGGAGGTCGTGGGTTGATACATTTCACTTGGGAGGTAACACACTGAGTATATAGTGTTTAAATGTCGGTGAAGGGCAAAACCTATAATTTGATGTTGATACTTCTCGACTCCCTTTCTAAGGAGCTGAGGTTTAACAGAAGAAAACCAGACAATCTCCAAACAAGCGCTTTGTATTTTGCCCTACAGGAAACAAGCTTATGCAGTTGGAACAAAACTCAGGTAAAATTTATCAGTGATCTCATTCCTACATATACATGTACATGTGCAGAGCCATGATTTTCATCGATAACATGTCCCTGTCTATGTACATGCCAAGTATCAACCCAATTGATCCGGTACTTCTGTAGATATTATTGTAGGGCTTCGAAAAATGCATCTTTAAAGGGAATGTACATCATTGGCTTTTGCTGTAATTTTCAGAAATGAACTATTTGAGGGGTTAGTATAATAGATCAAATATTGTTACACTGACATGTTTGAAGTTTTGTGTTCGAAAATGCTGGAAAAACTAAGAAAAACAAAAATGTTCAAGTAGTCTGGTTCCTTGACTCCACTAAAGATAAAAAATCAATTTATAAATGCCGGAAAATTGTACGGTAAGGGAACCAGTCTAGCTGGCCTGCACCCGTTCATGAACATGTAACCAATAGCAAACAAAATTTGGACTGAAAAAAGTGTATAAAGTTGGAGCAGTAGTTGAAAAATAGTTAGGTTTTTCCGACGGTGGTCGGCCGACCACCGTTGGAAATGTATACAAAAATACAATTTTCTTGAAAATGACTTCACACCAGGTTCCATAATTTTACAGGATGCTTTAGACTGTCGTTTACCGACATCCTAGTAAGGTACTTCGTAAAAACTTGGTAGTTTTATTTTTCGATGTTTGCAAATGTTGTATATTCCCTCTAATGTGATGTAACTTATTCAGTGATTACACAAGTTCCATTCAAAAGATTTCAAACAACCAATCGGAGCTTGAACATCATTTGTTCGTTGTTTTTTTTAGGGATGGGCAATTTGGAGCTTGTTTTCTTCAGAAGGCAACCAAGGAATTTCCCCTGGTGTACTCCGCCCGCCCCAGCAGCAGAATATGGGAGGTAATGGGACACTCAATGCATTGTGCTGTTGATCACTTTAATTTATAAAACCCACATATCCACCACAGTTGGAGCTGAAGTTGCTAATCATTATATTACTAAATGTACTATTAGGGAGACACGTTATCGTAATTTCTTCAATAATAGGGAGACACCGGCTTTTAGAGAGACACAACTGTCTCCCTAATGGCGCAGCCCCTCTTTAGAGGCAAAATGTTATTGTCGCAATTAGGTTATATTTGTTGCTCGTGGTCTAATTAGTAAAAATACCGACATTCGTGGAAAAAGGACAAGGGAATATTGGGTTAGGGCACATTTAAGTTGGAAAAATTTTGTGCACAAGTCTATGGGAAAGTCTCCCTAATGACCCATTCCCGGTAATTATTATTACCCTTGCTTACTGGACCAATGAAACATTCCAAGGACAATCTCAGTATACAGCTTGATGCTGCCATTTTGGCGCAAAGCAGCTAAAATCCAATCACAGTAACCTCTGGCCTCACTGGTAACCCTTTATTCCTGGGTGGGGAGAAGCAATGAGTGACAAACTGCCTTGCCCAAGGGCACACGCACCATAACCCCAGGCTGGACTCGAACCCACAACCTGCAGAATTACCCGCAGATCTTGAGTTCAGTACTTGAGACTAAGAGGCCATGATACTGCACAATTTTACACCTTTGCAACCTCGTCCCCAAGGTGTCGAGCAGTACGCGCCCACCACTACCTGCTCTCTCGACCTGGTATTGGATCATTTGCATGTGCAAGATTTTTGAACACGTATGCAAATGAGGAACAGTCTGGTGCCTGGATATGCGTTACATTAGCGTTTGTTTTTGTATGCGGTGTCTGGGGTAAAAACAGAGTCAATTCATAGCAGCGCAAGCACAGCGTGAGTTACGAAAACACGATTTTTTAAATCAAACTGTTACGATCTTATCGAGACAACATGCAGTATCATATTTCATATTAATATGAGCAAATTGGAAAGGAAATTAGTATTTTCGAGAAGGCGTGGACGAATTATCGCGAAAACTCGTACTGCACGTTGTGAATAATAGCACCAAGTACAAGATAAAAATCCATTACTAGCCAATTGCGGTATCGAATCAGGATACAGGAAAAAAATGTCCTATCCAGGGCTTACTATTGGAAACCAGGTTGGAAATAAAGTGAGCACTGGGGACGAGGTTGACACCTTTGGGCTTGTTTGATGATATCCCTCATGTACTTTATATAGAAGGGGAAAGCCACCCATTGCTGTAAGTAGTAGGCTCTAAAACTGTGTAATTATATGATTCAGTAGTCGGCGCGTGTACCAAGTCTTCTTTCAGTAACTACCAGGGCATGCAGGGTGAAGTTATGAAGGGCGCTATTTATTGAAAAGTGAATGCCGGAGCACTGGCAGCTTAAAATCGCTATACTGAACGATCGCCATTATGAACAATTTATGTGGGTTCCGCGATGTTCGTTATAGCGGCGTTCCGCTGTATTATGATCAGTGTTATTCTGTACAATTTTTTTTCTTTGGGTTCCTATAAAACTTTTTTGTCTTGGTAATAGATCTGCTTATTTAGTGATGTCATAATGCGCCTGTACGCTGCACAATTATTACTCCAGTTCATCAGGCTATGACACCAGATTACTGCAATGTAGGGTATAGACAAGCAATTTCAGTAAAGTGTCTTGCCAAAGAACACGATCACCACGTTGCTGTTAGGGTTTGAACGGCATACCATCGTGTGCGGGCTAGACACCATAACTGTGAACCAATTGTAGTAAAGTGTCTTGCCCAAGAACACAACCACCATGTCACTGTTAGGGTTCGAACCACATACTATCACATGCGGGTTAGACACCATAACTGTGAACCAATTGTAGTAAAGTGTCTTGCCCAAGAACACAACCACCATGTCACTGTTAGGGTTCGAACCACATCTATCACATGCGAGTTAGACACCATAACTGTGAACCAGTGTAGTAAAGTGTCTTTCCCAAGAACACAAACACCATTGTTAAAATCCGAACCACATACCATCTCACACGGGTAAGACGCCATAACATGTGTACCAATTGTAGTAAAGTGTCTTGCCAAAGGACATAAACACCACGTTGCTTTAAGGGTTTGAACGGCATACCATCGCGTGCGGGCTAGACACCATAATTGTGTTCAAATTGTAGTAAAGTGTCTTGCCAAAGAACACAAACACCATGTTGGTGTTGGGGTTTAACCGCATGCAACCGCATGCGGGCTAGATACCGTAACTTTGTACCAATTGTAGTAAAGTGTCTTGCCCAAGAACAAAAACACCACGTTCCTGACAATGTTTGAACCACATACATTGTGCTATTGCACATGATTCAGACACCATAACCATTGGACTAGAATGCTCCGTTTATTTGACATTAAAATTAAACCCCGTTTATGTTGATATCAGGGCAACATTGTGGGGCAGGTCTTAGCAACGCATCAATTCAAGCATCTACTTACTGTGCCGTCACTACCTGTAGTTGGACCTGGGTGAGTTAATATTAACCCTAACTCCCTTGGCCTTTTTGCTAGGATGTAGCCTCAATCCTGCAAAATCCTCCAGTTGGCCTCATGGGAAAATAGCATATAGCCTCAATCCTGCAAATTCCTCCGTTATTTCTTGAATATGGTCCATGGAGAGATGACCACTGCCTGAATCCTGCGGCAATGACTGTCAATAGGCCGAGGCAGAGGCAGTGACATCCTGGAGCAGTGCGGAGGATGTCAAGTATTATCAAGGACTAAATTTATGCATGGCTGAGCATAAACAACACAAGGTCCGGCCCAAGACCTTGACACAGTGCGTACTCCAAAATCAGCAACGCACTTTTGCCATGTAACCTCAATCCTGCAAATTCCTCCAATTTGCAAAAAGGATTTTGGAGGATTCAGGGCGGTTAGGGTTAATAACACCTTAATAAATCCCTGTCATATATGATTGATGGGCCATTGACAAATGATTGATCACATGTCATTCAATTATTCATCCCAGCCCACGGCCCAACTGCACCGCAAAAATAGAAGTTCTATTGCACGGTACATAGAAGTTCTATTGCACGGTAAATAGAAGTTCTATTGCACGGTACATAGAAGTTCTATTGCACGGTCACACTATTGGTGGCTCTGACCAATCAGATGACGAAGATTTTTTTAGGTGTTGTATAAAACAAACAATGAATGTTTTACATTCGTGCATTTGAAAGACTAGTTTTGTTGGTGACAGATGGAATGTTCCATTCCACTCGGCTTCGTCTCATGGAATGGAACATTTCATCTGTTATCTTTCAAAATTATTCTTAACATTGCACTCAACTCATGAACATTCATTATTTGTATAATGTTCTCATTTAAATGGGGGGCATCATTTTCATATCTGTTATGTCTTGGACTTGTAATGGACTTGTGATGGACTTGTGATTAACTTGTGATTGACTTGTTATGGACTTGTGATGGACTTGTGATTTACTTGCCATGAAATTGTGATGGACTTGTAATGGACTTGTGATGGACTTGTGATGGACTTGTGATTGACTTGTGATGGACTTGTGATGGACTTGTGATTTACTTGCCATGAACTTGTGATTGACTTATAATGGACTTGTGATGGACTTGTAATGGACTTGTGATTTACTTGCCATGAACTTGTGATTGACTTATAATGGACTTGTGATGGACTTGTGATGGATTTGTGATGAACTTGTGATGGACTTGTAATTAACGTGTGGTTGACGTGATGGTCTTGTGATGGACTTGTGATGAACTTGTGATTGACTTGTGATTGTGTGTGTATGTTTATGAAAGTGATCATTAGTGCTTATTAGAGAACTGTGCGCATCCCATGTTATATAACACTTGAACTTTTAAAAATGTTGCTCTTCCCTTTTCCAGACGTTCGCCAATTTTCCCTGGCGCAGATCACACCCAGAAATCTCAATCTCTCAACTTTGCACAACTCTTAACATTTGGCCACGGGTAAGTCCTTCAATTTCTCATTGTAAAATGACAAAAGCAAAAGAGCTCAGGTTTTTGTATCGTTACAATCCTGTCTTTTTCTGAACAGTCAGGGCTAAATATATGGCTCTGAGCATGGAGGACGAAAAGTGGCCATCTGCTTTGCTGCTATCAGAATAGCAGAAAAGCAGATTTTACATTGTTTTAACATGCATTTTTTCACTTTTCTCCTTTTCTGCTACCTGAAATGCAGATTAAACGTTTTCTGAAAATGCATTTTCCTACTTTTAAGCTTTTCCGCTACCAGAAAAGCAGATTGTACTTTTCCTCCGTATGCTGGTGGCCGAAAAGTGGCCATCTGCTTTTCTCCTTTCTGAAAAGCAGAAAAGTGGATCGAACGTTTGGCAACAACTGTGCATTCTACTTTTCTGCTTTTTGGACACCGAAAAAAGCAGATTTTACTTAGGTGGCCGAAAAGTGGTCATCTGCTTTTCTCCTTTTGGAAAAGCAGAACGGAGAAAAGCAGATGGCCACTTTTCGGCAGCCAGCATACAGGGGAAAAGTAAAATCTGCTTTTCTGGTAGCGGAAAAGCAAAAAAGTAGAACAATGCATTTTCAGAAAACGTTCAATCTGCGTTTCAGTTAGCAGAAAAGTAGAAAAGTGAAAAAATGCATGTTACAACAATGTAAAATCTGCTTTTCTGCTACTCTGATAGCAGAAAAGCAGATGGCCACTTTTCTTCCTCCATTCTCTGAGGGTAAGGGTTAATGATTACACTTCCAGAAATGTGGCATGAGGATTCAAATTTACTGGAAGATTATGTAATTATGTTATTTTGTACTTGAATTGTTGCTTTTCTTGTCATCATTGGGTATCTCCCCTGTATTTCCAGACATAACCTGCTGCTTACTTGGACCACCAGAGCAATCTACGTGTTTGACCCAACTCATATCAAGGTCATGGTGTGGTCCATGGACTTCAAAGGTTTGTCAACAGGAAGACCACTTTTGTAAATATTTGAAATATTCCACGTTTTTGTGACAACTGAGGGCGCTGTTGCTGTGATGTCACTTTAGGATAACACACTTCAGTTAGGGATTTTCTGTTCAAATTGTGAACCCAAAACTCAATTCAGCAAGATACAAGTGTGTACAGTGAGTTCAATACGTGCAGTTTTACAGTGTAAATATTCGTAAGCGTCATAAACGTGATTCTGTTCTATTTATTACATAATAGTCTGCATTTCATTTTGGAAATTCTCCGTGAATGACAGTCAACAGCTTCCTTTTTCAGTTTCGGAGAAGTTACTAGTAATATGTGAAGTTGTTTACTGGTATCCACAATCTGGAACCGGTTCCTGACATCAGCGGTTGGGTCAACCTCGTGCCCCGTGGGTACGATCTTGCTGCGCAATGCTGTCTCCCATCATGCCTTGCGCAATCGTAACCCCTGGAATTGTGTAATTTAAATGTTCCAAAATATGGCACATTATAATTAGGGCTGCAGTTTATCCGTTTAACATGCCGACGCCATCTTAAAATGTTAAAGGTTGTGATTTTGAAGAATCAATCCTTTCAAACATAACGTTTGGACGTTGCGCTATTTAGCAAAGATTTGTATTAAATGTACGTACCCCTTTCGTGCCTTTACAACCACAGATACAGGTTTTTTTTAGCGAAAAACGCGGCTGACATAATCCATATCGTACAGGCATCGCGACTTTTGACTCACAATTTTTTTTTTTCGTACGTGACGTTACGTGCAAAGCACGCGAGCGTATTATCGGCGCGCCCGGCGTGCAATCTTCGAAATAAGCACGCAGTACCTGTGAATAGCCAATCAGCGTCATTTACGTCATCATCACAGCCAGGGGTTCGTGTAAGGAACGAGCACGTGCCCCTGGAGTCGAGGCTGCGGTTGGGTATTCGCGGTTCCAGTGCCCAGCCCCGTTTACAAGTACTCAGTTTCATCCAAATACTTCTGAATCGTGCTGGTACTTCTTCATGCATATTTACGATGTACACTTAAGATGTATTAGGGGTTTCAGACAATCTTAAAAAAAGTTTTTTTTTCAGTCCCTGACAATGGGCAGAGCATACTATCCAAAACGTTATGTTTTCCTGGTTCTTTTTGGATCCTCACAAACTCACAATAGAGATTTGTCTTCACTTGCTGCAACCGCAAACTTACACTAAAAAGATACATTTATTCGTTTTGTTGTTGTTTGTAGATATACTTTGGGCATGTGTCTACAAGTCCAGAGTGTATTGTCTCCATCCAAACTCCCAAGTCCGATGCTACACGTTGCTCAGTGCGGAACGTTGTATCTCCAGACTTTTTGCGCTCAGTTTATGGGAGCAGTGCGCGCAAGCAGCGGTATACTTCGCGGAGAGGGTTAAGCAAGGCAACGCGCGCCGATATGTCCCCCGCAGCTTGATTCAGGAAGTTAATTACCAGTTGATGGATGGTAATGCGGACGTGGCGCTGATGGGAAAGATGGAGGAGTTGCTAAGCAACATGGAGGAGGATGGTCTGTCGACTCCGGGAAGCAGTCGCCGTAGCAGCCTCGAATCCTCCGAGGGATTTCGGCTAGACTCAGGCATCTACATGGTACGCAACCGCGCAGGCAGCGACGATTCGGTGGAAGATTTCCCCATCCAGAAAATCCGACCTAATGTCGTTGATCAGGAAACCCAGATGGATGATGGGATGGAGGGGTACGACGCAAAGGATGATGGGAAGTCTGATTCAAAGGTTAACCAGGACAACGCTGTAAACTTCCTTGACACCCTAAATCAGAAAGTAGCAGCCCTTGCTCTCTGCGAACCATTGGAAGAGGAAAAAGAAAGTGAATACGTAGACCAGGAGCACAACTTTGAATTGAACTATGACAAGGATGTAGCAACACTCTCTTCTGGGAGAGCCCAAGCATTGCCAAGCTTTCAGGAAGAAGCAGCTCAAGACAAAACAGAGATGGAGAGTTTTGAAGACTTTGATGAGGAGGTCGAAGTGGATGATAGTTTTGTCATGGAGGAGGCCGAAGAGATAGAAGGACCGGGGGATTTGGCTAGCGGCCCGGCTGGCATCAACTGGGGTATCAGTCAGGGCAAGCTGGGGTTACGAAGACAAAGCTCACTACTGGAAGAAATCGCTGAGGTTAGTGAAACACAGGTGTCACACAGATTAAAATCCTCTAGTCTTTGGTCCAAGACTGAATTGATTTTATTCTGTTAATACAGCCGGTCCTGATGTCTGGGAAACGAGGTTTAGCCGTCACAGTGGTAGAGAACGCAGACAACATATCATGGGAACTTTGGCAGTGCTACCCACGAAAAATTCTGAGCATACCTCACGTACGGGCTTAACATATAGCTTAAATACAGAATGAGTGAGGTACATGATTGCTCAGATTACCTGGTTAGCGCTGTCAAAGTTCCGAAGACTAGACTTGGTTCATCTTGTTTATAGCTCTTTCTGCCAATGTGACAGCTTAACTAAGTGTCGGGAACTTGTATTAGGGGAATTAAATCTACATTCGGGCTTGGAACAAGACTAAAAGCCTCCTGCTGTCTGAACAGCCACAGACAGTCAAAATCTCAATAAGCAGACTTTTTCAAATATTGCCCCCAGTTTACCAAATTTAGTTGTTCTCATTTTGTTTGCAATCGATTATGTGTCCATGAACACGTGCAAGCCAACTAGTCTGGTTCCCTGACCTGACAATTCTCGACGTCTATGAATTGCTTTGTTTCGTCTGAAGTAGGCTCAGAGAACCAGACTACAAGAACATATTTTTTTTCTTAGTTTTTCCAGCATCTATGAACACAAAATCTAAACGGGTCAGTGTATCAATATTTGCTATAAAATACATGTACCAACCCCCAAATCCATCCATTTCTGAAAAGTACAGCAAAAGCAAATGTTGTATATTACCAGGTGAAAACATACCGGAACCTTTAAGTAATGACTCAAACTTTTTCTTTGTATTTGTTCAATACATTTTTAAAATTTGATTTTGCTCATTTTTGTACCAGAAATCATCTGAAGGCCAAACAAACGTATGTATTGCATGCAGTTGTTTATGTGTTTTCCCGCTTGCATGAGAGATACCTCCATTTAATACTAACTCCCTATCATAATTTACTAGGAACCATACCCATCCAGGCAAATTCCAATTACGGGAAACTGCACACTGACTTTGTTTCTGGAGGTGTGCCAACCCAATGTAAAAGACTGTCAGTTTATGGGTACTGTACCCATCTTGACAGATTTCAGCAAAACATGCCATTGGGGTTTGATTGGTTGGGGGAGGTTACGGTATCACTCTTCATTGAAAATGCATGTACCGGTATTCATGGTAGTGGTTTTTTTAAGCAAAAAAACTAAAAATTTCAAAGGTATCTTCTCTGAGTAATCCTCGTTTGCCATTTTGTGGGTTAGCAGAATACCTAATGTTGCTAGCATCATGACTTTGGTGTGATCCCTGCCTACATGTACATGGCATATACAGGTTTATGGCTTCTGACAAGCACCCCTTGAACAAAGACATTGACAAAATGGGGAACCGCCAACATACATGTAGGGCTGGTTAGCTCAGTTGATACAGCACCGGAACGGCAATCCGGACGTCGCAGGTTCAAACCCCGCTCCAGTCAATTTCTTTGTTCAACGTTATTGACAACATAAATTCAAATTCCAAAGGTTATCACCTTAGCATCATGGACACACTAACTTAACATACATGTAATAACAGATAAGTACATTGTAACCCCTCATTGGTACATGTAAAACTACCAAACACGGAAAGTGCAGTACGTCTGTGGCCCCCGCTTCGGCCGAGTGGCTCATGGGACACAGACACACAGACACACTACCTTTGCTGACTACTGTCATGTGGGATATGCAGCCTGAGGGGGTTAAAAACGCCATATCCCACATCACAGCAGTCAACAATTGTTAATTATAACATACTGGTGCATGTGTAGCAGTACATACAGCCTAACAGTGCAGATCTACATGTACATGTATGCATGTTGTGAAATAGTGCCTTCAGTGTGTGCTTTGAAGACTTTATTTTCCATCCTACTGGCTTGCAACTTTTTTCCTTGGATCAATTGATTTCCTTACAAGTGTTTCAGTACACACATACTTGTTCCATAGTTGTGGGGACTACACACGAGTTGTCTGATGGCACTTTGGGGACCGAAGACACTGGGGGGACGGCAAAAAGTCCTCACAAGTCAGTCCTAATTACCCTAACAATAAAAACTTCCCCATAACGCGGTGACGGCCCACCCACACATGCCATTAAACATTGAAAAACACTACTGGGTGAGTAAAAAAAAAATTAAAAAAAGGAAACCCAAATAGTGCCCCCTATTTTTAAAAGAAGTTCTGCATGTAGCGCTTTCCAGATCTACATGTATGATATGAAAGCCCAACTACCGGTAATAAGCTTTGGTTTAGCGAAAGAATCATTCATACGTGTATCACTCATGTACTGGTACTTTTCCAGTTGAGGAATTTTGGACACAAACACCATTTTTAAACCTTGTCCACGGATCACAATTAAGGTAAGTGATATTTCAGCAAAACGAAAATTATTCACATCAAAAAACACATCAGAACACTAACATAACCAAGATAACTGGCATTTATCATAACATTTATTGAAAAACCTGTTGCTTCCAATGTTAAAATAACACGCTTCATAATGTCAAGAGTTTATAGTCTTGCCCTGCCTTCTACATATACATGTACTTGGCTACCTCAGAGACTTATGGGATTATTCTGATACATGTATCCTTTTTAGGATATGACTGGTTTCATTTTTACTGAAATATCTTACATTGTAAATGTGATCCATGGACAAGGTTAAAAAATGGTGTTTGTGTCCAAAAGCACATGAGCGATTTGAATGATTATTTTACTAATTTAGCTAATTATCTTATCTAGCTTAAAGGAAACTTATTAATTGGGCTTTCATATCCTAGATCTGGAAAGTCCTGCATGCAGAATGTCTCCAAAAAAAAATAGGTGGCACCATTTGGGTTTCCCTTTTCCGACTCACCCTGTATAAAGTCTTGTTACTTCCCAGTTGCATGCCTGTTTGTAGTGTTTGCTCAAGCTACCAGAAAATACTGTAAACATGTAGTTTGACTAATAATCAACAGAAAACATCTCAAAGACGCAAGGCCAAAACTTCATGCCTCATAGACCAGGGGCTCTCAAAAGTCATCACAAAATGCTATCTGGAGTTTAGCGAGGATTCCATAGAGTGAACATGAAATGCACATGTGTTGTTGTATGCATGCTGGCCAAATTTTAATAACACCCTGTATATGTTCAGACACTTTCTCTTGAAAAATGTGTGTTTCCACTTAACCCTCCGACGCAGAAAGCCCATTTACTAACACACTTACAGTGAGGGGTCACCCGGGGACCCAAATGATAAGCGCCACGGTTTGAGGCTACACAACACTGTGTCCACATGAACACAATCTTGCCATGTCTGTGGACTAAGGAGGAGGTGTATTGTATACATAGTCTGTGGTCAAGCCGTGCACTGTCTACCCGCAAGTGACCTTGTTTGTGCACGTGTATATGGTGGGTCCCCGGGTGGGCAGAAATTGCGTCGGAGTTGTTTTGTGCGCGTGTATATGGTGGGTCCCCGGGTGGGCAGAAATTGCGTCGGTCCTTAGCCCCGGTTGTCAGGCTCAGATATGCCTGACCCGGGGTCACACACTAAAGGTGACTGCATATATCCGTAGTGGGTGTCTCTGGCTAGGATTAGATGGAAGATCACCAGAATTGGTTTGAAATTTTTTTTTTAATTAAGGTAATTAACCAAATTGGGTCCCCAAAAGGGCTAGTTTCTGCGTCGGAGTCTCTTAAGGCTGGCTGTATCCAGTTTGCGTTAGAAGATGTGATAGCACGCACTCGCTGTTATTATAGACAGGCACGGCTGACGGGTTAAGACACATGTCAAGATTGCCTCGACTCGCCTCCATGTGACGTCTAGACAAGCTAATCCCTTGTGCCTTTTGTACACACACACAAAGTCCGTGAAGTCTGTGGAGGTGGACCGTGTGTTGATCTTGAAATGGCCATTGTGCATGGCCTGCTGTTGTACAATTTACGCTCCAGTGCACGTACACCCTGGAGTATAGAAACATATGAGGTTTCGGCAAGAAATATTGTACAAATAGTGTTGCATTGACTCTTGCAAATCAGTATTGTGGAATTTGGTATTCGTGGCATTTGCAAAAATCAACATTTTTGGTAAAACTAATCTTAGCACGAAGTGGTTAACAATAACATTTTCTAAAACTTAAAAAACAATTGGGAAGTTCTAGAAGATTTTCCTGAATAGGGCTGGAAACTACTCTACTCTGCATGCCGCGTAGTGTAATTTGTAATCCTTTGTGATATTTTAGGCATTGGTCAAAGAGGGGGAGCTAGACACCAGCATTGCCGAGTCCCTCAATTCTAGCAGTGACGATCCTGTGATAAATACGCTGACAGACCCCAAGACAGATGGCAGAGGGGACAGCCAATCAAGTCAAGGGAAGACGGAAACCAGTTCCCATGGTAACCAAGGTGGCTTAACCAATCAGTGCAAAGCAGATTTGGGTGGCACATCATCGCATGATGCAACCACTTCTAGTATGACGTCATCTAATGGCAGCTCAAGCCAGTTTGACCATTCAGGAACGGACAATGAGCAAAATCACGCACCTGATTCAGGCAGACCAACTTCAAATGCTAACTCACTTACTACACAAGACCGTTATTCTCAATTGGGCCAAGTGATTCCAATGGAGGCAGACTTGTCACTGAAGTCATTTAGGAATAACGAAGATCCGTGTAGTGATAAGCCTTTGAGACCACATAATTTACCGCTAGAGCCAGCATCAGATATTGATCTCAAAAGCAGCTCCTTCTCAGAAGGGACAGAACATGCCTTGGAAGACTGGCCAGTCGTTCGACGGTCAATCTCCATGCCAACTGCTGATCACATGACCAGCCCTGATGTGGACGGACGCAGGCCCAGGAAGCAGTCGTACTCCAAGGACAAGAAACGCTCCAAGAAAAGCAGAATTATTGATTTCGGTGAGTGTAACAGATTTATAGTGTGACCTAATGTCACACAAATGTAACATTTACAGTGGACGCAATGCACGAGTGCAGTTTACAATGTAATTCATCAGTCATGAACGTATAAGTATGTTGTCACTTCATGACTGACCTACCACTGTTGCATGATTATGAGTCTAGGAACTAGTCTGAGAGATGTTTGCATTGAATGTCCAGGGGCCGCTGATTTCACAAAATGTTAAGACGCGACTAAGGAAGGGTGACACCTCTTAACTCGTGACTCTTCCTAGGAGTGATTTCACCAAACTTAAGACGCTTTCAACACATCCTACATGTAACTTCCTGCCGCTGAATTCCCTTATTAAACTAAGATCGAACTGAGGATCCTCCTATCTCATTAATATGTGTATTAAATTGTATATCATCTGAAAATCATTGCTACATGTATGTCTTAGAACACTCTACTGTACATGTATTTCCTTGCTTTTTGTACATTCACCTTAGACAAACCACAATCTCCTTCCAAAGCTGATGAACCACCGAAGACTGATTCCGCATTTGCTGCAGCAGTAACACCCAAGGACCCTTCAAAGCAGCAGGCCCGAAACCCACCAACAAGTACCCCAACCAAACGGTCCCAAAGTCTCACCCCTGATCCTACTCTTCCGCAATCACCGACTTCCGTCCCCTCCAAGAGGACCAGCCAGCCAGAGATCCCCCCTCACATCCAAATGGACTTTCTCAGATCCAGCAGCTTTAGCACTGAACCTATGGGTGGGTTGGGAACATTCAATTCCAGTGAGGAGATGTTTTTGGGCGGGCCCTCTATGATGTTTTCCATGGCCGGGCCAAAACTTGCCGCTCAGTTTTTCGCACCGTCTTTTTCTGCAGTCAAAGAAAGGTAACAGATGAACACATTTTTGTAATTGATGATGATTTAGTTGAAATGTATTTGTAAAAAGACGTTTTGGTCCCGTCTCAATCAGGGCTCGATTTACCCGGGTGCACGCATGCACCAGTGCATGTAGATTTTTGCTTGTGCACGTAGCTTTTTTACTGAGCATGCACGACGTGCATGTAACTTTTTTAGCCACCAAAATACTCATTTCATGCATATATTTACCAGTGAGTGAGAATAAGAAAAAAGTTTGTTGAATACTTGACCAGATAGTGTACCAACGTGTTATTTCTTTTACAAATCCATAAATTATTCCTCGCACCATGCTCGCACAGTCGCAGCAGATTCAGAGTACGAGGTAAAATCTCTGCAACCTCCTCCGATCATGCATGTGATTTACCACGTGATACATGCTGCGGATAATTTGGTATCGCACTGACGCTCCGGGCATTCCTTATGTCCAGATCATAAGTGCGATTCCAAATTATAAGCTGCGTTTATCGCGTGGTCTCGTTATTGGCCAATCTGACGCCGCCTATCATATGCACCACATGAAGCAGACGTGTAGCTCGGAGGGCTCCGATAATTTTGCACGCAAACGACCCTGGGTACTCATCCAGGGTAATTTGTCAGGGTCACTTGTCAGGGTCACTTGTCAGGTTAAAATCTAATTTTTACACGTTCGTATGGGTCTTCATCGACGGCAAATTTCGTCGAAATGACACATCCTGAACACGCGGGAAGGCAAATTTAGATTTCAAGGCGAGTACTGAACAAATGTACGAAATTATGTATGGCGGATCGATTTCGCCATGTTCAAAATGCCACAACAGCGTGGCGTTGTATACAACGCCACGTTCACGGGTCTGGGCTTGAGCATGAAATTTCAAAGAGAAAGAATGCCTTCAGAGAAGCAGACGGGTGTAAGTCAATTATGGTGCATGTGGGTTTTTCTTGGTGCATGTAGGTTTTTTGGTCTACATACACCAGTGCATGCCACTTTTTTTGTAAATCGAGCCCTGGTCTCAATTCATACCTGGGATGAGTTCCAGACAAGCTGCAAACATTGTATCGGGTATATGTTACAGGATTCTGAACAAGTTCCCCTGCAATGTTCCCACAATGAAGTTTTCAGTATTGGTGAGTCTAGCAGTTGCTTATGAAAATTTCCCTGGAACATGTCTGGAACAAATACAGAGCTTCTTCTGGACAGTGGTGTGCTGTGGTCCAATGATTATGGTTTTTGACCCACGTGCCTTTGTACACGGGTTTGAACCCTTACAGGGAACATGGTGCTAGTATTCTTGGGCAAGACACTTTACTACAATTGCCTCTCGCCACCCAGGAGTATAAATGGGTGAAGGTAGAGACAAGAGTGCACTGATCTTGAGCTGCTGCAAAAATTGGTCTGAAGGCCTGATAAACAGGGGTAAACTGTGAAGTGCTTTGAGACCTTTGGCAGAAGCGGTATCTACCCGCAACTTGTCTGGAACTCTTCCCAGATATGAGTTGAGATGGGGCCTTACATACATGTCAGACTAGACTGCGACACCCTTTTTTCCTTTTACACTCATCTTCCTTTTTTGGTTCTTAAACAGCCTATCATCCAAGTTGGTCAAAACCAAAACATTCCTGAAACAGATGAGCGAGCCAGAAATTGGCAACCTGCCAGTGGACCACCCTGTCACCACGGAAACGCAAGCGGAAGTACTCGCCCTGAACTCACCTCAGTCTCCCTGCAAAGACCCAACTTCCCCCCAACACTCCCCTCCAAAAGACACCCTACAAAGGGGTTTATCACATTCCTTTGAATCGGAACCCTCACTGTCACGATCAAGTCTTCCAAAAGTTACATCAGTTGAATTGCAGACAAGTTCCAACAAACCTTTTGATCCAGAAAAGGAGAAAGTTGAATACTGCAATGGGCTTCCAGATGATGCTGTTGTTAAGAAACTCGCTTTAGCAACATGGGATACAAAGTGAGTAATTAAATCACACAAAGCATACATGTAAGTCCTTGTACCACCCTAAACCACTCCGCCTGTTACTCCAGGTACTACCCCAAACTGCCCTGCCTGTTACTCCCTGTACTGCCCCAAACCGCCCTGCCTGATACTCCCTGTACTGCCCCAAACTGCCCTGCCTGGTACTCCCTGTACTACCATAAACTGCCCTGCCTGGTACTCCCTGTACTGCCCCAAACCGCCCTGCCTGGTACTCCCTGTACTGCCCCAAACTGCCCTGCCTGTTACTCCCTGTACTGCCCCAAATTGCCCTGCCTGTTACTCCCTGCACTGCCCCAAACTGCCCTGACTGTTACTCCCTTTACTGCCCCAAACCACCCTGTCTGTTACTCCTTGTACTGCCCTAAACCATCCTGCCTGTTACTCCCTGTTCTACCCTAAACCACCCTGCCTGTTACTCCCTGTACTGCCCCAAACCGCCCTGCCTGCTACTCCCAGTACTGCCCCAAACCGCCCTGCCTGCTACTCCCAGTACTGCCCCAAACCGCCCTGCCTGTTACTCCCTGTACTGCCCCAAACCGCCCTGCCTGGTACTCCCTGTACAACCATAAACTGTCCTGCCTGGTACTCCCTGTACTGCCCCAAACCGCCCTGCCTGCTACTCCCTGTACTGCCCCAAACCGCCCTGCCTGTTGCTCCCTGTACTGCCCCAAACTGCCCTGCCTGGTACTCCCTGTACTACCATAAACTGCCCTGCCTGTTACTCCCTGTACTGCCCCAAACTGCCCTGCCTGTTACTCCCTGTACTACCATAAACTGCCCTGCCTGTTACTCCCTGTACTGCCCCAAACTGCCCTGCCTGGTACTCCCTGTACTACCCCAAAGTGCCCTGCCCATTTTTCTCTTTACTGCCGTAAATGCTTTTGCCTGCCCTGTTTATGATTTTTGTTATTTTGCCCTCAGACACAGCTTGCAGGACCCCAAATTGTCCCTGAGCAACAGAAATTGCCGTGATATCCTGGAAAAGTGGTTGCATGTGCTGCAAAATGCGCTAGCTTCCAAAAATCACCATCTACAAACTGAGTCCTTTGAAGAAGCTCAGGAAACAATGCCAGTTGATCAGCAAACCGGGGATCAAAAAGAAGTAACTTTTCACCTTGAGTCGAGTGGAGAAGATCAAAGCGCCCCCTCTGTTGGTGAAGAATGTCCAGTCTTGTCCAATCACAGTTTAACAAACAAAGACTTGCAGGTTGATAAAATAAATGAATTTGAGAGGGATGCTTTGAGTTTACCTGTTAAGAGTCGGAGTAAAAGTGACTCCCAGCTTTCGGACCCATTTTGTCTCCCTGCGCCAGTCTTAGAAGATGTGTCCAAACTAGCAATGCTTTGTTTCGAGATGGCAGTGTTTGATAGTGATGCTATCGTCCAATCAGATTCACCGTCTGATACTGAGAGGAGTGGCTCTTACCAAGATGAATCCTCATCTCCAGAGACTGACCAATCACATCCATTCTTAGATCCCAATATGAACACTCTCCATGACAACACCTCAGTAACCCAGTCCGTGATTGGCTCATTGCACCCAAATCCCAACAGCCCGAAATTTACAGACCAATCAAATGCACTGTCTCATAATGCCGCACAACACAATGTGCCTGACTGCAGCAGTCAAGGATGCGTATCCATGGAAACAGAGGGCATCAAGTTAGAGGAGCAAGATCAGAAATCGGCCAACTTTGTGACTTCATTTTTCTTTCTGGTGGATGTAGAGAGGGTTCGAGAGATCTTGAAGTGGCGAGATGGTTGGCGGAAACTAACAATGGCAGCCATTTTGGATTGCTTGCAAGGTAAACCTACAAAACAAAGTATCGGCAGGAGTTTTGGACATGATTAATACAATTGCTAGGATCTAGGAAGTTATCCAAATCAAATTTTGGGCCACTGTTTCTACACAGTGGTTTATCGCAATACCTCACGGTATTTACGCATGTAGTGAAAACTGTCAATAGATTTTTGTGTTCTACACGCATATCTATGTATTAAAATATCTATTGAAACCCGTACATTTTAATTTTTGACAGAGAATGTCCTGTAGGGCGTGCAGAATACATTGAAAAAATATCACATTGACTTAATATTTTTTGTTCTTTGTTTTTTCAGCGAGAGAAAGAAAGAATGAAACTGAAATAGAAAGCATCAGTAGACTTGTCCAAGTCATCGAGGACGACACACACAGAGGAAAACCTGCCAATATCTCCCATATTAATAGGTAAGTACATCAATGGATGGTTGTTATCAAACTTTTTTTTGGAAATTTGGAGTTGACTTTCAAATAGAATTGTGGTTCTTAACCAGTTCCCATCTGAGAATGTGATAATACGCACTGGCAGTTGTCATAGACCATGTACACAGGCACAGCTGACGGATTAAGACATCAAGATTACCTCGACACGCCTCTGGGTGATGTCTAAACGCGCTAATCTCTTGTGCCTTTTGTACACACACACAAAGTCCGTGAAGTCTGTTGAGGCGGACTGTGTGTTGATCTTGAATTGGCCTCTGTGCACGGCCAAGTGTTTTTCAATTTACGCTGCAGTGCACACCCCTGAGTATTGAGGCATATGAGGTTTTGGCAAGAAATGTCAAGTTGGCTGGAAATTTTCCCTTTTGCGAAAATCAAACTTTTCGGCAAAAATAATCCCGACGCGAAGTGGTTATTAAAGAATTACAATCAGTTTCAAAGTGGTTTGGCCTAGTGGTTACATTTTGTAATCGGAGGGTTAGGGGTTCGAATCCAGCTGCTGGATATATCGTGTGTCCTTGGGCAAGCCACTTCACCCCCACTTACCTCTCCGCACTGAGGAGTATAAATAGTACAGCATTAGCTGGGGAGTAACATGTGATGGACTGGTATCCCATCCAGGGGGATTAGGAAAATATACTTGGTTATTTTATGCCACAGAACCGGATATAAACGCAGGCCTGATGAGCTAGGGATATTGGCCTGGGGTAGGCTTACTTGAATGCCTTCATGGCCTTGTTCAGAGAGTACTGTTAGGGCCCATCTCAATTCACATCTGGGACGAGTTCTGGACAAGTTGCGGGTAAATCATTTACTTTGTCATGAAGAAGCTCTGCTTTTGTCATGGACATGTTCCGGGGAAATTTCCATCAGCAACTGCTTGATTTCATCGGAGGAATATTGCATGGAAGTTGTTCAGAATCCGGCATACAATGTCCGCAACTTGTCGGAAGCTCATCGAGGATATGAATTGAGACGGGCCTGTAGCGTTCACTTTAAGTTTCACTGTACTGCGCCTTTAATGCATCTTGTATATATGTTACATGTAGTTCAGAGGTCAACCTTCATGCATTCAGTTTCGTTTCGTTATCGTTCGTCTATACTAGTTTTCTGTCACACACGCAATTTTTACAGTGCATTTTCTATACTTTCGCTTGGAAATTACAAGCTAGAATCCACACTATTCTTTACATGAGTTAGTAAACATCGGCAGAGCTATTCCAGTGAGCAATCCAAGCTTGTCTCGTGGATTTTTGTGAGTGTTTATTGACCGAACTTTGTGTGCATATTCACCACGTGAGTTAAAAACCAACTCGCCCCACATTCACGGCGCGGGCAGTTGCCCCGTTCGCGTGGCGTTGTGCATGGACTCGGCCCAGTTTTGGCTGTTTGTATACTTCAACTTGGTGAGTCATTTAACTTGCAATAAACTCGGAGTTAAAGTAGGACAGTATAACTAATTCCTACAGGCCCTTGATCATTTACTTCCTATCTTTTACAGGTTGATCCAACATGGACAGATAGAGACAGCCCTTGATGTCATGCTGGGTGCATTCCCGGATCTTGTTCCATGGGAGGTGCTTCATCTCACTCAAGCAGACACAGCCCCTCCTGGCTGCTTTCTGGACTACGCTTCGGCGTTACTGGAATCCGTGGAAGCCATGGATAGGTAGGAACTCCATGCTATAATACAGCGTGTGTCAATAAAAACGCAGGATTAGAAACAAAAATATTAAGAATATAAACCACCCCTATTCATCATAATGTTAACCCTCTTTTCAAAGTACCTTTCCTTCTCTTCACTATGCTTTTTATCCCATCTCCTTTGGACAATCCTGTCCAGAGATAGAGTACATTGAAGAAGGGTTATAAATTCCAAGCTGGTCTGATTTGTGAAATCACACATACCTAATGAAAGGTTTGAATTCAGTACAGGTGAAAGTATTTGTGGATCACAAAGAAGGACATGTGTGGCAGGATTAGGCTTACATAATCCTTTAGTCCACAATCAATGTTATTAGTCAATAATTCATGATGCTTTGAAACAATGATAGTCCAGTTATTAAATTTAAGTGATACTTATCATCAGTTGTTTCAAAGTAAGTTTTGTTCTGGTTTAATTGTCTTCAATGCATACCTGCATTGTACATAACTGGTCGTTGTGTTGAGGTCATTGAATCAGACCAACCCGCTTCAGAAGGGCTTCACAAAACTTGTCATAACTTTTGAACCAAAAGTCCAAATTCCACCAAACAAAAAAATCTTGTCAAAGATGAAATTATGGACAATCAAATCCTTATCAAATTAGGCACACCAGTAGCATAATTTTCTCAGAAAAAAAATCGCTTTGAATCCTGCGTTTTTATTGACACACGCTGTAGATCGAAGATGTGACCTCATAACATGCATGTATATAAGCACAGGCAAGGACCTCATGCTTCTGATATCGTATTGGTTGCCATGCACCTTGCCTCCCCTATCGTTTTATTAGCCAACTTCTGCATATCATGCTTAATGCAGCACCGTATTGGTACATGCGTAGATATTTAAATTAGGTTGACCCCAGGTCATAGGTCATTTTGACAAGTGACGCGCTGGCCAGTATCAGACTTAACATGGCCTAGCTGCCATTTCGGTGTTCAGACTACATGCAATAGAACTAACCTCTTTCCTAGTGTTTATACATGAGTCATGTGATTGTGCCATGTAATTTCTGGAAGGAGTAGTGTTGTGAGTTTAAAAGATCAGGTTTTTGACCCCAGTGACCCTATGATGACCTTTGACCCCAGTTTGGTCATGTGACATGTTGGGGCTTGGCTACTGATACTTTTGACAAAGTTTGGTTGAAATCGGTCAAATATGTAGGAGCAATAGACAATGCCAACGTTTGTTACTAACGGACTAACAAAGAGATACGATAATTTGTTGAGCTGCTATCCTATTGATTTTGATGTTCTTGTTTCACTCAGGGACACCATGCTGGCTTCCATCTGCAGTGACCTTGAGGTCAAATGTCACTTGTTGACCTCTACCCTTTCCCAGGGTGCACCTGCAAAGGCTGAGCTGTTCTGTACATGTGGAAATATGCCAAGGTACAGTTAGAGGCCCCCTTCTTCCCAAAAAATATATCCAAAAAAAAAAAATTATAATTTATAAAATAATGATATCCCTGATTTCTTTAAAAGTCTTGCAGTGGCAGGATTATTTTGCCTTTCTCAATTCATATCAGGGACAGGTTCCGGACAAGTTGCGGACATTGTATCGGGTATATGTTGCAGGATTCTGAACAACTTCCCTGCAATCTTCCCGCAATGAAGTTATCAGTATTGGTGTGTCAAGCAGTTGCTAATGACAATTTCGGTGGCATGTGTCCGGGACAAATACAGAGCTTTCCAGAACGAAGTGAATGTTTCTTCCTTTAACTTTTCCGGAACTCGTCCTGGTGTCACATGAAAATCCGACTCCTATGAAAATTGGACCCCTATTTCCCTGTTATTGGTTGATCCCTCGCACGTGACAGGTCACTCTCCCGAAACGATCCTAAAAATAGCATAGTATCATACTCACGCGTGCGCAGTACTACCAATAAGTCCACATTTCATAGAGTCGGATATTCACGCTACACCGGATATAAATTGAGACAGGCCCTTATAAAAAGAAAAAAAATCATGATCCGTTTGATTAGTTTATTTTTTTTTATGTATAACGATTTCGTTCATTACTTAAACAATGCATTGTTCATTCTAAGTTTGATTTGTGCGCCATAACAAAATGCCTTGAACATTTTCTTGATTTTCTTTTAAGGCCTGGATCCCATGTGTTGGTATGGCAGTATGGTACCCTGACTGACCAGATACTATCTTTACCTGGGACTGGTAGAGACAGACTACTGAGTGTGTGCATTCAACATGGGTAAGTTATAATTTGTGTAATGGATTTGTTTTCTTTTCTTTTTTTTGTGCTGGGAATTTCAAATTCAAAACATCTGCAGCGATAAGACTTCATAAACTCTGTATATTTACTGTTGTCCCTTAGCTTGTGAGAAAATATAAAATTAACAAGCTGACTCTTGCAGGTCTTTAACCTGTGACCTCCTACTTAATACTAGTCCGTACGTACCATTGAATAACAAAACTTGACATGGTCTATTGCAGGCCTGTTCCCTGATCTCAGATTAGGGGGGTTCATCACACCCTCAAAAGAGGAATTTTATGTGAGTGCAAAGGGCGTGTGGTCAGGGGCCCGCTGAAATGCCCCCCTAAAATGTTGGATTCTAGGTACTCTATCTGTGGTGCAATCTGAGGCATTTCCTGGCCCTTTTGAGCAAAAGTTTATCAGAGCAACATTGTGACCACAATACCATGGAGTATTCAAAACTGGAATTTGTTGGCGGCAATTTACTTGTTTTATTTTTTTTGAATTCTGAGCGAAACTCCTCACCGAGCGTTCAAATCCCCCTGAACCTCCCCAGCGTACGGGCCTGTCTTGTCTCTGCTTCAAACTTTAATTTCATGATTTTATCCCTATCAGTCATGTCAGTATTCATCAGTTTTTGACTCGTCCCAGAAGGCCATACTTGTGCCCTCTTTTCACTGTGACTGTCTGACTGACTGGTACTTGCGAGCCGGGCAGTGCTATCATATAGGATTACCCCATTACATGAAGGGGCTCAATCCGGCCCATTGTGTAGACCAGATGCATGAAAAGCCTTCCAGTGAAAAGCCCTTCTGAATCGATTGAATAGAATGTTGTTTACCCTCTGAGTCTAAACCTGCCAGATGCAGCACAGTGCATCAGGTGGAAAAGTCTGGTGCTCTTTGATGCATTCAGCTCCCAACACCAGTGCATGAACGGCCAGCTCTGAGACAATTAGAGCTAGTCCCATTGAACAATGCCACAGTTGTAACCTGCTGTGTTCGGGGACCACAGACTCTGAGGCAGTGTGGCCTTGAGACTTTTTACCTGATGGATCTTGCTACATTTGGCAGGCTTGTCACTTTAAGCGTTGCATGTTGCTACGTTTGGCAGGTTCTACAACATATCTGCAGGGTTAGGGTTAACTAGGCTTTGCTTGTTTTGCTATTTTTGTAGCTACTGGCCGGGTGTGCTGAGGTTGTACTTGCAGCTACATCAGAGAGGACAAGCGTTGAAGATGGCGGTGCAACTCGCTGATATGAAACTTCTCTCAAAAGAAGGTAATGTTTGCCATGTTCTCTTGGGAGGAAATGGCAGGGACGACATCTAGAAATAAAACACTGTGTAATGACAGGCTTAAAACTACTAAACATGTACATGTTCTTAAAACACATTATCCGGTGAAATCATTGTAAAAGCGAGAAACTGCACTTGGTACAAAGGACAGGCGATGACGGTTTGTGTTGGATTTAAGTTGTCGTAGTCTGCCAGACTTGTAAATGGGTATTGTCAAGCAGTATTGCTTTTAGTTTTGCCGGCACAGCTGCCTCGTAGATTGAACTCAAGTCTTGGACAGTATTACCAATGACTACCAAAATCTAGCTGGCTAGTACCTGTTCATGGGTGTGTATTCGATAGCAAACAAAATGCGGACTAACTTAATATGGTAAATAGGGGGCAGTATTTGAAAAAAGCCAGTTTTGTTCCAATGCTGGTTGGCCGCTCAGCGTTGGTAATCGATACAAATATACCACTTTTCTTGAAAATGACAGCACACCAGGTGCCATGATTTTACAGGATGCTCTAGGTAGTTCATTCTTGTTTGGTATTTTTGTTTCTTGATGTTTGCAAATGTTGTATATTCCCTTTAACAAACAAACATATTAACTCTGAAAATAGACTGGTTCCCAGTCCCCACATTATCAATTCTAATGGAGGTTAGAAACCAGTCTACCCTGCGTCTATTGAATTATTGTTGGTTGCAAATAATGCAAAATTTCTGAAGTTAACATCCCCCCCAAAAAAAAAAACACGGGCCAAAGTCGTTTTCCCAATTAAGGTTTCATTCAAAATTGCTAGGAAAAGAGTAATTCAAAACAAAACAATAATCTATTTTTAGGGGAAAAATAGGGAAATAACATGGACAGTACATATTTCATGTCGAAATAATTTATTCTGATTTTGAATTTGACAAAGGAATCTTGCCAATGAATATGGATGAGTGGATCCTGCTGCTGAATCTGATGAGCCAGTCACAGTCAGTCTCCAATACCATCCAATGTCTGTCCTGCAACGCCATGCTCCTTGTTAAGCACAACAATCATTGGCTGACCACCCTAGCAACCAGCCAAACCTCATCAGACGAGGTCTGTGATTGGTCAACCCAGGACAGTTCATCTAAACCCGAATGTGACTGGGGCATTGATTGTAAGGACTCAAACCAAGATGGGATTAAGCTGCCATCTGATTGGTTGCCCTCGGTCACATGGGAGAGTATTGGCAAGCTATTGGTCAAGAGCGTTGGTCCAGGATTGGCTACAAGAATGTTGACAGATACTTGCATACCATGTGGGGAGCTATCAAAAGAGTTCTATAAGAACTGTGTTCTGGTTGGAATGCTTGAGAAGAACGAAGGGTAAGAAACTGCATATGTGATGCGATCAAGCTCAGTGAGTCGTTTGTCGGGAACTTTCATTTGGAGATTCAGGCCAAAATAGGGCCACTTCATCACATCACTTCATCACATTTCTTGGTGTTCCGACTTTTTGAACTGCATGTAAAGATGGTACCAGCATGCGGTTTTCACAGCAGTAATGCTGAGATTGTGCTCTTTTCAAATGTGTGAAACAAAATTGACCAGGGTCAACAACCGACTCATTTAGTTTGATCGCATCACATATACATGTATGTATGTGACATGGTCTGTCAAATTTAGACCCGTTCTAGACGCTGTGCTGTTGCTGTGTCAAACCAATTAATTTGACTTTTTTTAATTCGGCCCAGTGATAGTTCAGCATTTAAAACCAATTGGCTCGGCAAATTGAGTTTAACACGGCACCATCTTTTGGCTAGATGGGGCTGCTGCACTATCGACGTTTCAATGGCAATGGCATGGCACTGTTCTAAACGTGGTGGGGCAAACATTTTAAGAATGCGCGTGCTCACAATACCCTCTCTCGCATTTGCATCATGAGGAGTGAAATTGGCAAAATATTTTTGATCGCCCTGAAGTTCATTGAACTGCTTGAACTGCTTTAATTTGGCTCATTACTCCAGATGCGTTAAGGTTTGACTATTACATTTGGCATTTAGAGCAACTTCCGTGCTGTAGAGGAGCTATTGCCGCACTCATTTCAATTAACCCTAAAGGGGCCGGGTTATTTTGACCATCTCTCAGCCGGGGGGGGGGGGGGGGGGGGGGGGGGGGGATTCCGCCCCCCCCCCCTAAGATCTCGGCCATCGAGTGACGAAAAATTTTGAAACTCGGCATATGCATAGAGCAACTCTTCCTAAACATACCCAAGAAATTTCATGACTATAGGTCAAAGGGTTTTGGAATTATGGCTAATTAATTATTCATATGTACGAATGGCAATTCTGCTCTGTGTACACGACGTATATGCGAAAATTCAGTTTTTACGGCGCATAGCGCCGCAAAATTTTTCGCTACACGGCAACCCGTGGTCCGATTTGTATGTTTTTGGTATCAAAAGATGCGCAAAGCTTGCGTCTAAAAGTCATAAAAAGCCCCTTTAGGGTTAAGTTCAGCGCAGCAGGAGCGCAGCATCTTAAACGGGCCTAGACATATCTGGGCAAAGCATGAAATGAAAATTAAGTGAACTTTTTTGTTGTGTTTCAATTTATGCAACTTGTGATCCTTGGTCCAAAAATCCTGTTTGTGTTAAAACGTTCATTAATCAATCTATGTAGTACTTGGAACTTGCAAGAATTCTGTATTTTTGCCTTTTTTTCTAGTAATGTGTGCTGGAGTATGTTGGAAGGTATAGATACGTACCTGTGGTCAAAGCGCAACAACACAATGGCGCCCTCTATCTACCATCAGGTTCTACAGGAGCGTGCACAGGCGATGAATAATGATGGCTCGGGCTCGGAGACATTCAACTCAAAGGTAAATTATGTTGTATTACAGTGTACTACATTATATTACATTACAGTGTATTACATCGTATTACATTACAGAGTACATGTATTACATTATATTACATTACAGTGTATTACATCGTATTACTACAGTGTATTACATTGTATTACATTACAGTGTATTATATTATATTACATTACAGTGTATTACATTGTATTACATTACAGTGTATTACATTGTATTACATGTACATTACAGTGTATTACATTGTATTACATTACAGTGTATTACATTGTATTACATTACAGTGTATTACATTGTATTACATTACAGTGTATTACATTATATTACATTACAGTGTATTACATCGTATTACATTACAGTGTAGTACATTTGATTACATTGTATTACAAATACTCCGTGGTGGATCCATATAACCAAAACCTGCTTGGGCGGTTTTGGGCAGTAAAAGTGATAGCCGCCAAGGCGATTTGGGGTAGTGCTGGGACTATTCGGATAAAAGTAAAGGGTGAACACATTTTTTTTTTTTAATAAAATTCTGCATGTAGCAATTTCAAAATCTTGGATATGAAAGCCAAATTAATAAGCTTTCTTTTACTTACAAGAATCTTTCAAATCACTCATGTCGTTTTCAAGTTATGAAATTTTAAACATGAAAATACCGTTCTAAACTTCTGTCCACGGATCACAAAAAAAGGTGTGTGTTCTTTCAGCAAAAAGAAGCTGAAAGAACGCTTACCCTTTTTGTGATTTGTTGACAGAACTTTAAAACGGTGTTTGTGTTGAAAATTGCGTGATTTGAATGATTCTTAAACTAAAAGAAAGCTTATTAATTGGGCTTTCATATCCTAGATTTTGAAAGTGTTACATGCAGAACTTCATTACAAAATGGTCCTGCCAGTTGGGTTTCCTTTGTTTACTCACCTTTTACGTTATTCAAACACTTTGTAAATGCGTATAACTCTTTGGTTTTGTTTTCCCCAATTTCGCCTCTACAATACTCTGTTTTCTTGGTCATGAACGCATAGGTACCTAAGCCTGATGCCGTTTCCAAGAGTTCCTGCCTTTTCATTGAGGATAATGACTGCCACTGGGGAACCAATGTCAAGCTGAATAGGTTAGTAATTATAACATCCATGTCACATGAACAATAGGTTATGATTGTATGACATCAAAGTAACCATCCAATTTCCCTGTGATCAGCCACCATTGCAGTAGGCAAGAGTTTGGTTAGCAATCATGTCGTGGCTTTATTTTCAATAAAATAACTGCAAATTCTTTATCAAATGGCATAATGGTCACTACCTGTGCCGTGTACTTCTTCCCTAAAATTTTTATTTCAATTTGGAGCTTGATGACTCTAGTCCCCACCCAAGGGCGGATCCAGGGGGGGGGCCAAAGGGGGCCATGGCCCCCCCCAAAACGAAATCAATTTTTTTTTTTTTTTATGTGACATCGCAATAACGGCAGGCAATGAGTACACCACCATCTTTTCCTCAAAAAAAAACATTGGTTAAAGTGGTCAGAAATTGCCTCAGATCGCACCACAGAGCATCTAGAATCCAAAAATTTTTCGGGGCCCTTAAGCGGGCCCCGAACCTCACGCCGTAATTTTTTTGACCCACTTTTTGGGGGGACCAAATTTTTTTTTGGCCCCCCCCAAAATTGTGTTCTGGATCCGCCCTTGTCCCCACCTGGCTATCTTAGGAAACGTAAGGTCCCTACTCGATTCATAGTTGCAGGTAGAATCATTCACTTTGTCCGGAAGAAACTCTACATTTGTCCCGAACATGTTCCGGGGAAATTTTCATGAACCAGTTCGTGCTGGATGACTGTGTACACGCAAAGGTTTTGCAGTATTCAGAACGGATGATAGATAATATGCAGGGAGCGAGGCCGGAAATTTCTGTCAGCGACCAGCTCGCAGTGAGCAGGCCAGAATGATGAGTGTGCTGCCGGAGGGTGATGGCTTCAACCCGCCTGGCTTGAAGTCGAGTGAAAATTAACCCTGCACCTCGTTCCGTTTTTATCAAAATAATCCTGGCATAAAATGGTTAACAAGTGCTTGACACACCAATACTGATAACTTCATTGCGGGAAGATTGCGGGGAAGTTGTTCAGAATCCTGCTACTTATATCTGATACAATGTCCACAACTTGTCCGGAACCCGGAACTCATCCCAGGTATGAATTGAGATGAGCCCTGAACAAATTATGACATCAAGCCTATTTTAATACATGACCTTTTTTTCCCCCTTTATAGTGATTGTGAGTTATGTGGACTTGCATTGTCAGCTACAGTTTCTGCCCGGAAAAGCGGACTGCTGGCATTTCCCTGTGGTAAGTTAAGAAATAACAAAACAAGGCAAGCATTGCATAGCTAATCACAGAATGCAAACAATTATAGTCGGTCGGTTGGTCGGTCGGGCACATAGACCAATATTACTGGGCTACCAATATTGCTCTCTGCTACCAGCAAAACGTGATGAAAACAAAAAAATGCTCTTTGACTTTGGAGTGTTCAAGTACATGTACAGGGTGAGTAAAAAAAATGAAACTCAAATGTTGGGACTATTGTTTTAGAGCAGTTCTGCATGTAGTGCTTTCAACGTCTAGCATATGAAAGCCCAATTAATACGCTTTCTTTTACTACAAGAATCATTCAAATCACTCATGTACTTTTCAAGTTACAGAATTTTAAACACAACCACTGTTCTAAAGTGCTGTCCACAGATCACAAAAAAAGTGTGCGTTCTTTCAGCAAAACAAAATCAATTCACACACATCCTTATGTGATTTGTTTTCATCTAGCTGAAAGAATACTTACCTTTTTGTGAGCCGTGGACATAACTTTAAAACGGTGGTTGTGTTTAAAATTCAGTAACTTGAAAATTACATGAGTGATTTGATTGATTCTTGTACTAAAAGAAAGCTTATGAATTGGGCTTTCATATCCTAGATTTTGAAAGTGCTACATGCAGAACTTCACGAAAACAACAGTCCAGACATTTGGGTTTCAGTTTTTTTACTCACCCTGTATAACAAATTTCTTGTAATTTTCATTTAAAAAACCGGGTTTGAACCTGTAACGTCCAGATTTCCATTCTGGGACTCTACTGACTGAGCTTTCCAGCCCTATGTTAGCAGTTTTCTATTTTCATGATTTTGGCGATGTTTTTGTTCAAATTAATTGTTTAATTCTGTGAAACTCTGCTTTTGTAACAAGTTCCCTTAGAGGGAAGATACAACATTTGCAAACATCACAAAACAAAATGATCAAATTGTCACGAAATACCTTACTTGATTGCTATGAAATGACAGTCTAAAGCATCCTGTAAAATTGTGGCTCCTGGTGTGCTGACATTTTCAAGAAAATGGTATTTTTCCAATGCTGTTTGGCTGACCAGTGTTGGAGAAAGTTTTTGTTTTTCCCTTCATAAACTGCTCCTAATGTTTCCTAATTAGTTATTCCGCATTTTCTTTGCCATTGATGTGAAGGGGTACAAGCCTTTCTAGACTGATTCTCTGACCTTACAATTCCCCAAAGTCTACAAATTGCTCTGATTCATCTTAAGTGGGTCTTGGAACCAGACTACGAGAACATGATTGGTATTCTTGGTTTTTCCAGCATCTACAAGCCCAAACCATGAAAAAAGTTATTTTAACAATATTTGCTATAACATGCTAATCCTCCAAATTCATGTATTTCTAAAAATTGCAGCAAAAGCAATTGTTGTACATTCCCTTTAACCATTTTGTGTCTTTTAAAATTGCAAATGTTTCACGTTTTTCTTCTTTGTTCAGGGCACACGTTCCACTCAGCTTGTGTGGTTGAGAGAGCCTGCCTGCTGTGCTATGAGCTGAAATGCCAGAGTCTCTAATGACTGCATCAAAGTGTATCTGCAATGTAACAGCATTAACGAAGTGGGTTCTTTTCAACAACTTGGTGCTCAGAGTGCTACGCCCACTCGTCAGGCCTGTCAAGTATTTCTTGGATCAGCATTGTTTTTTATGCCCCGCGGCGAAGCCGAAGGGGCATACTGTTTCCGCCTTGTCCTTCCGTGGGTGGGTGGGTGGGTGGGTGGGTGGGTGTGTGGGTGTGTGTGTGGGTGGGTGTGCTTGTCTTACATACGCAGTGTGGACTTCCGAACAAAAGACGTCCACATAATGTAGGTAGCACCGACGTTGTGTGGACTTACCCCACGTCCACACAGTGTTTCCCCATTTCTGGAAAACAGGTTTAGAGGCATTTTTGGGTTAGGTTTATCTGTAGCAGAATGAAGAGAAACACTAAAGGGAATCATAGAAAAAAAATTGGGTTGAAAGAGTTTTCACAGTTTGAGAAAAATAAGTTTTTTCACTGGTTTTTCTTAACTACACGAAAGCAATGGAAAGTCCACACTAGTCATGTGAAACAAGTAGGTGTGTGTGGGTGTGTGTGTGGGTGAGTTTGTCTTACATACGCAGTGTGGACTTCCGAACAAAAGACGTCCACATAATGTAGGTAGCACCGACGTTGTGTGGACTTACCCCACGTCCACACAGTGTTTCCCCATTTCTGGAAAACAGGTTTAGAGGCATTTTTGGGTTAGGTTTATCTGTAGCAGAATGAAGAGAAACACTAAAGGGAATCATAGAAAAAAAATTGGGTTGAAAGAGTTTTCACAGTTTGAGAAAAATGAGTTTTTTCACTGGTTTTTCTTAACTACACGAAAGCAATGGAAAGTCCACACGAGTCATGTGAAACAAGTGTGGGTGGGTGTGTGGGTGTGTGTGTCCGGACAAATCTTGTCAGCGCGATAACTTGAGAAATACTTAACATATGAACTTCAAATTTGGTTTGTGGATTGTTCTTGGTAATCCTAAGAAGCCTTTCGCATTTGGGGCCAAAAGGCCAAAGGTCAAGTTCACAGTGGCTAAAACAATAGAAATCTTGTCAGCGAGATAACTTGAGAAATACTTTACATGTGAACTTCAAATTTGGTTTGTGGATTGTTCTTGGTAATCCTAAGAAGCCTTTCGCATTTGGGGCCAAAAGGCCAAAGGTCAAGTTCACAGTGGCTAAAACAATAGAAATCTTGTCAGCGCGATAACTTGAGAAATACTTTACATGTGAACTTCAAATTTGGTTTGTGGATTGTTTTTGGCAATCCTAAGAAGCCTTTCGCATTTGGGGCCAAAAGGCCAAAGGTCAAGTTCACAGTGGCTAAAACAATAGAAATCTTGTCAGCGCGATAACTTGAGAAATACTTTACATGTGAACTTCAAATTTGGTTTGTGGATTGTTTTTGGCAATCCTAAGAAGCCTTTCGCATTTGGGGCCAAAAGGCCAAAGGTCAAGTTCACAGTGGCTAAAACAATAGAAATCTTGTCAGCGCAATAACTTGAGAAATACTTTACATGTGAACTTCAAATTTGGTTTGTGGATTGTTCTTGGTAATCCTAAGAAGCCTATTGAATTTGGGGCCAAAAGGTCAAGGGTCAAGTTCACAGTGGCTAAAACAATAGAAATCTTGTATTTATTCTGAGATTATAGGGATTAGGGATTAATTCATATAAAACCTACAGAAGACACTAATGCTGTCAATGAATGTTCCATGTGACCAAGGTACATGTAAGTTGATGTTAGAGTGGTGTTATGTCATGGGAACAGTCACGGTTGCGGGGCATTTGTGTTTGTAAACACACCTGACTTGTTTTGGAATACTGTCTCTGTGCACGAACAGTAGATGGGCAAGAGAACCAGTGTAAAGTGTCTTGCCCAAGAACATATGTAACATGGACCAAGTACCCTAGTATTCCTGGGTGAAGAGAAACAATTGGTGTAAAGTGTCTTGCCCAACGACACATGTAACATGAACCTATCCCCATTTATTTCTTGGGTGGAGAGAAACAATTGGTGTAAAGTGTCTTGCCCAGCGACACATGTAACATGAACCAATACCCATTTATTTCTTGGGTGGAAAGAAACAATTAGTGTAAAGTGTCTTGCCCAAAGACACATGTAACATGAACCCACAAGTGTACAGAAAAACACTAACATATATTTTCATATCTTGATCTGTAATAAGTTGTGAGAAGCAGAGAATCTTTCCCACCAGTTTTAGGTTCAACAAGGAGATTTCATTTCTTAAATAAGATAACAGTTCTACACAGTTGAGTGATGCTGTTATCAAGCCACATACAGCATTTATGTACAGTACTTATACAATTTTTCTAATATTCTTCTCAGTACCAGTGTGAAACTACATGTACTTACTGCTTAATTTTAATACAGTTTATATATTTCAAGAAGACTGTATTTCCCTTTTAAAATATTTTTGATATCTTTTGTCAAAATTCAAGACAAGAAATTTGATATCGTGACGACGTCATCATTAGTCATGTGACGTCTTTTAAAAGGTGCATAATATAAATGTCTATATCCAGAGTTCTAAAAAGCTAATTGCATTGAAACTTTGTAAATACATACATGTATGTGTGTACATATATGTGTTTTACATGGAAATGAATATGACATCATGATGACATCGTCATGTGATGTTTTATTGATTTCAAAATTTGGTTAATTGATAACACCAAATTCACTTTTACACAACACGCCACTATGACTAAAGAGGTTGCTGTTCAAATGGGTCTGTACGACAAAAAGAGCACCGATTTCGGTTTGGTTTTGGGTGCAACTTCTCATGTGAATCATTCGCTACATCCAGCAACTCTATGCATCCTACAGTCCGCCAAAGCTGGGTAACCGCCGAGTTTCAAAAGAATTCAGGATAAAAAACTTCATGTCATAACAAGCACAAACCATATTCAGTAATTTTAATTATGACTTTTTGTAACACCGATAATGGAACATTCAAGTCAACTTGCAAAAAAACTATTTAATTGATTGCAATAATTTGTAAACTTTAAAGGCAATAATAAGTTGTTATAGTACTTATGCAATAATCGGATCATGTGATGGAAATTTTGTATGTATATTTTTACAAGTGAAGTTTGGAATCAAATTCAAATTTGTGAATTTGTTTTATGTGGCACTGGTGTTTTACTTCAAACAAGATTAGTGGTGGGATTAATGTCCGGATCGTTAAAAATTCGGTTTGAATTCCACCAGTCCGTTTAGATTTAAAAAAAAACGGACATTCGAAACTGACTTCAACAAAAATAAACCTTCCATTTTTGTGACACAGGCTAATGAACACAATTAGAACATCCCCAAATATAGTGACCGCATTCACTTGCTAGTGGTCTTCTTGGTATATGAATAGCCTGCCCATTTGACTGATCAGAGAGTTCGCATCAAATTTCTCACCATTACAGCTCAGGAGCGCATTGCATGCAGCAATGCTCTCGTCACTTTTGTTGGCATGACTGTGTGCTGAATTGAAACGTCAGTTGAAATCGGATAACCTTAAGTCGGTTTAACAAAAAATTTAGGATAACCAGATTTTGAAATATCTGATTTCTCCCACCACTAAACAAGATTTATTTGTTCCGTATTTTCAGCATGATAACATATATATTTTCTGTGTAAAACTATTTCAAATGACATATTAACTGAAGCAAAAATATAACTTGCAGCCTTTTGAATACTGTACTGATGCACGTATAATATAGTTATAATTTTGGCTTAAAACTGTTTTTGCTATAAAATAAAATGTTTTTGTGGTCAAGAAATTGGCCATAATTCATGTCTGTATTAAATATTTTCTACCATGCAGTAGGTACAAATTGTACTCGTAAATCTCACCTTGTTTCACATCTATGAAAACAGTACTTAATAATTGAATATTTTCTTGAACTGAGGAATATCAGACTTTACAAAAAAAAACGAAATTAAATATGACATCAGTACCAAGACGCAATAATTTATTTAATAGTACTTATTAATTATGAATTAATTGTATGGATGAATTTTGTAATTTTACTTTTCGTAAGTATTTTTTTTAAATTGATGATGGCTTCCGAAGTTAAATAACAAGTATTTCCAACCATATATTTTATATGTATTGTATATTGAAATCTGTGATTATATACACAGAGATATCAAGATGAATAATGTGGCTGGTTGAAATTGATCGTTGTTAGTGAAGGTACTTCAATGTCTTTCAGGGAACTACAGAGTGGTCCCAAAAAAATATAAGTCAACACTTTTTTTCAGAGGAAGATTGTTAAAAATTGGGGAGACATGTTGAAACTGTCTTAAACTAATCCTAAACTACAAGATCTTGGTAGTATATGGTGTAAAAGGCGTTGAAAATAAAGCTCAAGTTAAGAAATAATAATCATTTTAATGAAAACTTAGTCCAAAACTAGTTTGTTTATGCATACTACATGTATGGCAGTCATGCACGTTTCAGAGATCGGTACATGTTAGTCTATGCAGTCTTTATTTGGGATATTTTGGCAGTTCTTTGTGCACCGTATATCATAGACTTATGTGTGGACAAACTGGTTGTAGTCCATCTTTCTTTAAACCATTGCTATTTCTTAATTTAGACTTTATTTTCATCGCCGTTTTCACCATATATCACGAAGATACTGTAGTTTAGGAGTGCGTTTGATCTTTTAAACATGCCCCCCCCCCCCCCATTCCAAGAAATCTGCTTCTGAAAAAGTGAAAATTTTAAAAGTGTACACTTTTCTTTGTACCACTCTTTTCACTGTATTATAGATCAATTGTGCACTTAGCCATGCAACAAAGTGGTGCTTTGAAATTGGCCTTGTAATTTTTTACTCAAATTTGTTCGATGTCTGGTTAAACTTTGTTCCTTTTCTTTTATGTTCATTTTTCCTCATTCGTTTTAACCAATAAAATTGGTGCTTCAGTATTTTTGATCAGGTCATGGAATAATTGACGTACATTGACATCAGTGTTCATTTGCGTAAACCAATTCACACTATTTAACACTCCAAAATGTGTTATCATTTAAGTTGGATTAAGTTTTCGATCTTGCAAGTTGACAACATTCACTAGTTCACCTTAACTTTTTGTCAAAGTGT